TCTCAGAACATATACTGAATTCAGCTCCAGTTCGTGGTCGAATCTGCCATGTTGCTCTGTCAACAAAGTAGCGAAGCTGCTTCATCCATATACATCCATGGTATTTACTTCGTAGATGTTATTGCACCTTACCTGCTCTTTGTCACATTCACGTGGTATACAGATTTATTCATGCAGGGTTTAATGTTTAATGTAAATTTTATCCGAATGATTGGAAATTTATTTGAACACGGATGAATATATCTTTTAGTCATAATATGAAATCATTCATGGTTCGATCATTAATAATTTTTGCCAAACAATAGAAAACCATATTTGTTACATTTTATTTGTTCTTTAAAAACTCGAAACGGAAGTTTATCTCATATTATATTAAAAAATATATTAAAAACTCCATGTTAAATTTCAAATAGCTTGAATGACATTTAAATATGACTTAATCACTGTGCCGGGTAGCACAGAGCAGCTCTTATGAATATTGGAGAGCTAGAAATCCCTATATTTCTTTGTGTTGAAATTTTATCCGTTTTCGTTCTAGTTCATTATGGTTCCATCGGATTTTTTGATTCTGTCGATGAACCAACAGTGACGATATACTTTTGGGTATTTAATTTTTGCCCTAATTGTAATTTTTCTAGAATACGTGTGGAATCTCATTTCTCAAGAGGCTGGAAATATCAAATAGGACAGGAAATATCAAATAATCAATGGGTCGTTTGTCTCTCACCACTTTCGTCGCCATTTTGCTACAACTTCCCTGTTGGACAAACCCGGCCGAATCAAATGTTTGGATTAGCCCGTCCGCTGTAATCCGGGAGATTGAAGATGCTCGTGTCTATTCTGATCAGCAAGAAATATTGTTCCTCATCCCAGATCTTCCGGATGCGCCAAAGTTCAAGACTGCTACATGCCGAGAAAAGGACATTCATGGTTCGATCATTAATAATTTTTGCCAAACAATAGAAAACCATATTTGTTACATTTTATTTGTTCTTTAAAAACTCGAAACGGAAGTTTATCTCATATTATATTAAAAAATATATTAAAAACTCCCAGATCTTCCGGATGCGCCAAAGTTCAAGACTGCTACATGCCGAGAAAAGGACACCACTATTTGTGACTTAATTGTCCCAATGAACAAGGCCCTTGTCGGTGTCTCTCAGCTTTTTGAAACTCTTGAAAAGCAATTCACTTTCAAAGGGATCAATGGGTATAGATACAACTCGAGCCTAACTCAAAGCGGAGAGGAGTTTAATGACCCCGACCTGCTGCAATCAATTCAGGACGCAGGACCAGAATGGTTCGCCAAAACGAATACAGCGCTAAAAAATCGCCGAACAAGCCAGGGTGGAATAAAACAGATAAGAAGTCCCTGGTCTTCATCAGAGAAAGTGTTGTACGATTCAATTCTTAACAACGACTATGACTCGTTCAATATCAGTAGAATGATTAATACCGACTTTATAATGGGGCAGGGTACCGATCCTTCCGTTCATCGAGACAAACGTGGAATAGATGCGGTTGCATCTAAAATACTTGTATTTGCAAAACCACTCGCAAAACTGTTCTATCGAAACGGGCAGATTTTGCCCTTGCTTACACGGGCGCGAGCAGCCCTTCCGAACTCACTAAAATATTTTCTGGACATTCCGGAGTTTGTATCTGAACTTATATCTACTGAAGAAAGGGTCGCCAACACGATGAGTGAAGCAGTAGGATCTATGCACTGGTTCCCAACAAGTTCCACTAGGTCCATTGACCAAGTCTTCTCTGCCGCTATAATACTCCAGTATAGTGTAATGCACTATCAGACCCTTTTCCATGTGCATTCCCAAGCAGTTTCTGAATGCAGAAACGGACTTTTACCGATGGGGTTTGTCCCACCAGCGGTATTGAAGGGAAGATTGGAACAAATTAAGCAACAATTGCAACATTCGAGCTCAGACGAAGAAATGATCATTCACCCAGAAGACTTCTCGATGTACTAGTGCATGAGTTCAGCCCAATGCCGACTGGACGACGAGGGAGGAGTTGTAGCACTTTCTATCTACATGAAACCCAAAGGTGCATCCTTCAAGTTGTACGAGTTACAGCCGGTCGCTTTCCAGCACCACAACTATACCTGCGAGATTGGAGTCAGGTCGGGATACATTGTGGTGGACTCCGCATCTGAAACCATATATCCAGTTTCAGGTATGGACTATGAGACTTGCACTCCAAAAACGACGGGTCTTTGTAAACTTCCAAAGGTATGCTCATATACTCCGCTGTGTTAAAATTATTTATAATATGATATTTGTGCAATTTAGAATTTTTTTGTAATTTTTTTATTTTTTAATTTCTCCAGGTATGCGGCATATATTTACTGTGGGAACGTAACTTTGAATTTTTATAATATTTATGATAGTTGTTAGATTTTGCAATTTTTTAATGATCAAAATTTTGTTTTTTGATTATCCAGGCGGCGAACTCTGATGTGCCTCAATTCTATTGCCTCAAACTGATGCTTGAAGGTGGATCAGTCGCAGAGGTGATGCGGTATTTTAGCTATTAAATTTCGCACAATTCGTTTCAAAGACTTACTAATAACTTACGTAACATGATCAAACAGCTCAAGAAAGCATGTCCAATCACTTGTCACGAGGGCACAAGGACGACGATTGTTGAGGCTGCAGATGACGCCATAATTGTGTCTCACCTCCCAAAATCTGGGACGACTGTTGTCTGCGAAACAAAAGGGACAAGATAAGGCACGATGTCGACGTTGGCGCTATAAAGCTTACACTAGGGTGCGGATGTCGATTGATGTCAGGAACGAAGACAATGTGGGCAGCCAAATCCAAATCATGTAAAAGACCTTTCGTCCCATTCTCACTAGAACGCACTGCCCCAGTACAAATCAGCGATCTCGACAACTGGGTCCCTACCTTGGAAGCGAACTTCAAAGGTATGAAATTCTTAACTGCAGAGGATGTTCTGGATCACAATTGGCGACCCAGTCAACAGCAAAAAACGGATGATGATGCTATTCCCGCTTGGCTGCCTTTAATTACACCTCTGATTAGCACCCTCTCGAGCTATTTCGTTCTTCTCTGTTTTGCTTTTAAATATAGGCTTGGACCATGGGCACCGATTGTAGGCGTTGGTATTCGTGCCAGAGAAGTGGGTGCGGCAGCAAAAGACCACGTCATATGCAAAGAATTGCTGACCTAACCATTACATAACTATTGGACTGCTTCTCCTTCTAATTGTTCCAAGCTGGGCTTGCCTTTTTTATTCTAAAGTCAAGAAAATGTGCAAACGGTACATTGACAAATTGGCACAAGAAAAAGCAGCAAATGATGCTGCTGTTCACTGCGAAAAAGCAACATCTGCTGTGCACAGCGAACAATCAACATCTGCTGTCTAAGATTGTGTAAAATCTTAAGCAAAGCTGCAAACACTGCATACTCAGCGTTCATTAATAAAAAATAATTTCGTTCTAATTAGCTTATCGGCTTCATTTTTAGGTATTTCGTATTAAATTTCTGAAATTGACCCAATTTTTTCATATTTTCTTCCTGTCGGCTTAAATTTTTCTATGCATAATGATTGTAATTAAACAGTCCTTGAACAGTAATAATATTAATTTTGGTGAATTTTTGTATTGTTGTGTGATGTAGATTTTATACAATTAATTATACATTAGATCTTTTGTAAGATTCTTCTATTTCTTGGATTTACAATTTCCTTTGATTAAATCCATAATTATATTTTTGCCTTGTTGTACTAATAATTTACCTGAGATAATTTTGTATTAATTAAATTATGCCGACGTCATTAATCCTTCTGACCTGAACTGAGTAACTAAATAATTCACTTTTTCAGCATTCTGTATAAATATTTAACCATTAAAATTGATGTATGCAGCTTCATACTTTGGTATAATAAAATGCAATAATCCAAAATTGTATAATATAGTGAGAATGTAATGGTTTATTTGTTTGGTTTTGGTTTATGACCAAGGTCTCTCGTTCCTCCAAGAGCATGTGCTAAAAATCTTAAAGAGGCTTTTGAGCGATAGCAAGGCTTAAATACATTATTGAGTAGTACATTTGAATCACCGCTTTGGGAACTTTTTATTCGTAAACGGGTTTATTGTTATTATAGTATAAACGTAAAAATTATAAACCAAGATACAATTGCACTAAGCAATGAATGAATGAAAAACACTGCAAATACTGCAAATAAAAAGTGGGTGATGAAGGGTCAGTTAGGCAGCGAATGTTCGCGAAGTGGTAGTGCAAATGTCTGGCCAGCAAATTATTCATTCCTTGCTGTCGACAGCTATTCTGCTTGGGGTCGTGCTTATTTAATACTTGAAGTTAATCATATTCGAACCTTTAGAGCTTTAATTAGTGCTGCATTAATGTTCGGTGTTGTAGATATATATCATTGAGCTATTCATGATATGTAATATATATAGGCCAATCCGAGATTTTAATGCAAAATGTGTGCGAATATTGATAATGAACGTTTTGATTCCACAAATTCTAACTATGTGGCAGCAAAATGCACTTATACTTATTAGAATGCGTCTGCCCTGGAAAGTCGGATTGATCAACTAACGACGCCAGGGCTGAGTCGACCTTAAAAACATCTTACAAAATTAATGTTTTTTACGGTGTGAGATAATTGGGGTAAAATGGGAAAAAGTGGCTAGGGGGTAGGGGCTGAGGCCAGCCTTCGAGGGGCTAGGGGATGAGTCCCACGGAAGTAGGGGCTGAGGGATAGGGGCTGAGGCCAGCCTTGTAGGGGCTAGGGGCTGAGGCCAGCCTTGTAGGGGCTAGGGGCTGAGGCCCTCGGGGCTAGGGGCAAGGAGATGAGGCCCACGGGGCTAGGGGCTAGGGGCTGAGGCCTGCCTTCGTGGGGCTAAGGGCTGAGGCCCACGGGGCTAGGGGCTGAGGCCCACCCCATTTTTCCCCATATGTTTCACTTCTTCCGTCACCGAGCGAGTATGCCATTACTCGTGGCGAAGGAACATGTGATGTTGTCGGTTGAGAAAAAAATACAAATTGTGTTTCACTAATTTTTCCAACTTTTTAAAAAATATTACGACACAAATTTAATTTTATTGATTGACTATTCCAAAAAGGTGAGTAATTGATCGATTTCTGTGCCACATAATACTATTGTACCATGATGATAATTGCAAATGAAAAATTCCTTGATCAACTGTTTCTAAATTTTCAAAAATAATTAATTCCCAATCCCGAATATTGAGAATTTTCTTAAAGTAATAAGTTGGTAAGGTTTAATTACCATGTGGAGTTACTACAATGTTTAGCAATTATGTGGTGATAATGACTGTTACCTAATTTAAATTTATTATCGTCCCGAGATAAAATGTATATTTCGTAACAAAATATTGTTACCATTCTGTAATAATTTTCAATGCTAGACGATGGAGACGGAAAGAGCGATCCGACGCAATGTCGCCAATTTAAATGAACGACGCCGCATGCACAGCATTAATGATGGATTTGACGTCCTACGGAATTATTTACCGGGTCAGGGACGTGAAAATTTAAGCAAGGTGGGTAATCAAAAGTTCATTAATTTCAGTAAAGAATTAAATATTGTGATTATCCCAATGTAGGCTGCAGTTTTGCAACAAACGGCGGAATTGGTTGCCCAATTATTGGAGGAAAGGAACGCTGTGGCGAATAATGACACATACGGAGTGGTGAAACAGGACAGAGACGAGATGCCGGTCCTAATTCCACAAGTTCGAGTTCCTCCTGGGCTAGAAAGTATTCCAAGTGAGTTATCCAACAGCCAATTTAATACCTGCGGGGGAGGGGAGGAGGTTATTACTTACCTGAAAAAATGACAATATTCAGTTTCTAGAGAACAAATGGTACATTGTCTATAAACCTGGTGTAACTTCATCACCGGTCGGTGAGCATGTGTGACTTGTAACTGCTGATTTGTAACTACTCTGTGATCTTCGTCACCACTAGTACTTAGTGACACTCGGTGATAAACTGAAACCAGACAGTGACAAAAATAAGACTAACAAATTTACATTCGCGTGGTTACACGACACCACAATTTTTGCAGTGTACTAAAACATGACATTTTGCTCTCCGCGATACATATAGGTCACGATTTTTGATACCAGAATTTGTCAAATTGTTATTTAATCTACATTGTTTATAATTCTTATTTAGGTATAAAGAGGAAAGTCAGTAAAGGAACTGGAAACATTTTGCAAGATTTAATCTCTTCAACCGTTCACGTGGAAAAATACGCTGTCCCACCCAACCAAATTGACCAGATTCGGAAAATTCGCACTGTTGAAGAAATTGCGAAATGCTCGATATGTTTAACGGAGGGGAAAGTTCTACCACTAGCGTCGCCCGAGCTGGAAATCTTTATAGACCTCGCAAAAAACGAGATGTCCTTCGCCCTCTTCTCTTGGACGTTGTGTTGTTCCTCGTGTCAATCAACGCTGCAAAAATTGACCAAGTTGCAGAATGAGATTGACAACATAAAGATGTGTTTGATGACGTTGATCAGAACAAAACGTGGTCGTTCGTCAGGTAATGAATACAGTAGAAATAATTTTATGACTATTTTTTACACCCGAGGAGGAGGTACTATACAATTTTACTACTTTGTTTCCGGAAGGGTGACATACATACATACCTACATTGACTAAATCCTGCCTTAGTACTAATGTCACTGCAGTGTTAACAAAAATGCTACACGCACTTGGCAATTTGTTACCTTGGGTTGACCCATTGTAACTATAATTGGTACTTTTGGTAGAATTGTGCAGTACTTCCGCCAGTAATAATTGTTCCCTAATTAGTTAGACTGTAGAATTTTGGTAATTAATTAAATCCGGTCGTACAAAAAATTCATAAATACTTATGTATATCTCGTTAATTTTTTATCCACAGTTTCGGAAACTTTCCAGGTGATAAACCACCTAGAATTCCACAGCGCTCCGCCTTCACCGGACCATACTGAATTAGTCGATCCGCTTGAAGATGTATGTCCTCAAGAAGAGGATAAAATTGATTTCTTGAATTTAAACCAAGAAGATTCCAACGACGACGACTTCTTAGAAGACAGTGAAGATATCAACGAAGATATCGACGTCAAACCTCTCCTGGTTGGAACAGAGGTTGATGTGGACTCCGATATGCCAATTATTATTAAAAATTGCGTATCAATCTCGAGCCAATCTGTATTGGAAAACTTGGTTGGTTCGGATGATTCCGGAAACCAGAATAGTAAAAGGTAATAAACCAAACTCAAAACCTTTTGTGACGATTTTTTTCCGTCCGGCGGAAGTACGACGTAATTCTACCGGCTTGAATACCACTTTTCTCAGAATATCATGAATATGGCCCCTATGGTAACAAAAACGTTACCGACCCTGTATGACCCTGTATTACCCTGTAAAACCCCTTTATGCATCGGCTCTGTCCGTCTGTCCGTCTGGGCGCGCTCTAACTTTCGCGCTTCAACTTTTTTGATTTCTGTTTTCGCTAATCGACATAAACGGTCAAGGCGGTGATCAAGTTCGTTAACTGGCCTTGTAGGTCAGGAATGGGAAATACCTCCACTGTATGCTTTTGGTCATCAGTTTAAATAATAAGGCACATTTAAATTCATTTTAAATTAATGCTTATAATTTTATTCTAATTCAGAACAATTTGGTAACGCGGTGACTATTGCCATATTTGAGGCTTGATCATATTGACCTACATATTTCGTATTTTCAACCAAATTAGCTAAAACTATCTTTACCGATTGTCCAGTTAGAAGAACTTTGTATGAAGTCGGTGATAATTTACATTCAATTACACTCAAACGCTTAACTAGGAGAATACCATCGGGTCCATTAATAGATACAATATCAAGAATAACGTATAAATTCGGACTACAGAGGATGAATTGCTAAAAAGTGAACGCTGGATGAACCTTATCATTTTTTCCTCTATTTACAATTTCTACTTGAAATTTTGAGGATTGAGAGATTTGAGCATAGTCTATATTATTGGTTTTAAATTTCAATTCGATAGTTCCAACAACGCCTGAGATATGAAGAAAAAATCCTGCGTCCGAAAAAAAGTTTTCCAAAACTGCATAATTTTTGTGTTGTGATTTATTTTTAAAATTCTGTCAAATCGTTTGTTATGCGCAGAATTTGATGTGAGTGGTATCAATGTTCGTGGCATGCATCTAGCTTTCAAAAATAACTAAAAGTCCACATTTATTTTTCAATCTCTTTGCATACCACATCGCTTTGTGAAAAAAATGAGAAACAAGTATCAAAAATGATAATGATTTTTTTTCGCCACAATGGTTAAAATTTTGTGCGTGTTTTTTGTTTCAACAGTTGGTGGAGATATGCCTTAGTATAATACTAACTGCTTCTGCACTTCAATTTTTCGATTCCATGATGGGTATGGCTATTTTCTAAAAGAAACTGGCGCTTCAAAACGATGGGGATTTCCTGGGGGGTTTTATAACTTTTATAACTTTTATAACTTTCTCTCTGGACCTCTAGCCTCTTATTTTTTTTCTAAATTCGAACTGTGTTTAATACTATAGATACTGGGGAATAGTATATGCTACATTTTGTGAGTATTAATTTATCTACAACTTACAATGCGAAGGTGTCAGCGGCTAAGCTCAGATCTTGACCGGACCAATTTTAATTTGTTCACCACAAAAACTAAGTGGACCCGTATTTTGGCGTTTTTCATAATGGGGCCAATTTGAGCGCCTGGCGGCAATTTCAAATAAATTTCCAGCCAAAACATAGGGTATTCAAACGGCTCTAACTTCTTGAATTTTGGCGCGAATTAAAAAATAAGAAAACATGTGTTTAGAATTACTTCTAGTATTTTTCAAAAATAGGTTTTCGAATTTTTTTGCAAATTTGAAATTTTGACCAACTTTTGAATTTTGGAAAATGACAAAACCCGTTTGAATACTCTATGTTTTGACTGGAAATTTATTTGAAATTGCCGCCAGGCGCTCAAATTGGCCCCATTATGAAAAACGCCAAAATACGGGTCCGCTTATTTTTTGCGGTGAACAGATTAAAATTGGTCCAATCAAGATCTGAGCGTAGCCGCTGACACCTTCGCATTGTTAGATTATCTACAACATTCGAAAATTCATCTTTGGAAATCATTTTTATGCCACCCTCTTACTCTGAGGTCAGTGGGAGGGTGAGTTTCGAAACTAGAGAGCTGACTTTTTGCACACTTCGGGCTAAGGGGCACGTGCAACTATGCTCAAAATTAGGAATCGTAACTCTAACCCGTTTCAGAGCTATTCAAGGTTGCCCACGTTTACTTTTTAGCAATTCATCCTCTGTAATTTTAACTATTGAGTTGATTCGTTTGTTGGTTTCTTTGTTACTGGTGTGGAACACTGTACCATTAATGATAACAGAGTTGTAGCAATAGCCATCATTACAATCGAATCCCATTTTTGCTAACAATTTCTTAATAGTAGCTTAATAATTCAACAATTCGGTAAAAATTATTTTATAGTAAGGATATGCCACTAAAGTCGCACTTGTCTACGCTCGCTTAGTGCTTTTAGGCGGCATGTTCAATTTTTGAAACCTATTAGGTCTCATCCAGAATTTAATAGGCTTTATGGATTCGAAAACCAAAATCGGTTATCTCTATTCGTTCTAAATTGAGAGCAAAAAAATCCGAGGAAGCCACAAAACGTGTTGGCCAAAGGTACAAAAAAGTGTGTTTCAGGGATCGAAAAAACACTTGCCATTTTTTTCTAAATGCAGGAATGCCTCGAAACTCAATTAACCGAATACTGGACATATACGACGAACGCGGAAATGCAGATTTCAAAAAATCAGTTGGCCGACCTGCCCTCCTGGGGTCGAAGAAAGTAGTGAAGAGAGTGGAGAAAGCTTTTCTCAAAAACCCCAACACTTCGGATAGTGCTGTTGCAGCTATGGTGGGCTTATCAAGATCGTATGTACAGAAAACTACAGGCAGGGTGTGCTACCCCGGGTTTTTGGGGTTTTGGGGTTTTGCGGGTATTGGTGGGTTTTGGGGTATCAAAAATGAGCAACACCCAGGGGTAGTTGGGGTAGTCGGGGTTTTCGAATTTAATAGAGTGTGATAACAGGGTACTGCTATCAATTCTACCAATTAATTATTTATTAAAATAAATTAACAAGCAGAATTGTTGCACAATTGCTGAAAAAGTAGATTTTTGTCAAACCTTAATACATGAGACACTGACTCAGTTTACCCCAAAAAACCCCGACTACCCCTACTACCCCGACTACCCCACTACCCGCAAAACCCAAGTAAAACCCCTATGTATGGGTTTTCAACAGCAAAACCCCGGGGTTTTCCTTACCCTGTCTACAGCGTAGGAGTTAGGCTTCAAGACGCATAAAGCACAAACTGTACCAAAATACAACGAAAGTCAAAAACATGGAGCTAAGACCAACTGTCGATAAATTTATGAAAAAATGCTGAAGCAAAGGACCCCCAACTTAATCGTCATGGATGACGAAACGTACTGCACTGTGGATCCCGAACGTGTTAATGGTGAAAAGCACTACTCCTGTGCTATCAGGAAGATAAGCACAAATTCAAAGGAGAAGTTTGCCAAAAAGTACCTGATATGGCTAGCTCTTGAGGAAATCGGCTCAATTGAGGGAAATTTCAAAACCATTTATTATTTGCAAGACTTTGAATTCTAAACTCTACCTGAAAGAGTGTGTCATAAAGAGATTGATCCCCTTCATAAAAAACAAGCATGTTTTGTTTTTGCCGAACATAGCGACATCCCACTATGCCAAGATTGTGACCGACTCTCAGAGGTGGGCAATATACATCAAAATGTATATTGAATATACTTTGCCAATATACTCAAATTTTCGTCTCAATATACTATACAATATACAATATACAACAAAATTGAAATATACAATATACAAATATACGTATATAATATACATTATTTTAGTTTCAATATACTATACATGTATATTCAATATACAATTCCAATATACTTTGCAGACAATGAGATACAAAGTGTAATTTAGTGTTGTAAGTTCAAAATTTTTCATTGAACCTTAACATTTTTTAAGGCGGCAGCTGGTAAATGCCGCCAGCACAAAATTGAATTTTCGCTTATCATTAGATATTTACATTTGGATATTTGGAGTCAGGAAGGTTTCCGGGTTTCTTCTATTAATGGAGAGGCAATTTTTTGCTACAAGTTGCACATTACCTATTAAACCTATTACCACTTAGGGATGCAATTACACCTAAGAAATTTTAATTGAAAAACGTTAAAAAATGAAAAATATTGTAAAAAAATTAGTTAATATGAAAATGTAGACGTCGGGCTTTCTTAAAAAATGGGTTTTCGGGGCATGCTCCTTCAACATTTTTTTGTAACACGAATTAGGGTAACCACAATTGTCCTGACTAAAACCTGGACATTTTAGGCAAAAAAAATGTCCACAATATCTAGTGCTTACAAGCGAAAAATTTGTCAATAATATCCAATGCTTGGCGAGAAATCTGCAGGAATGGGAGTAAATATTTGATGCACGTCGCTGGTATTTATGAGCTAAAATCTACTTTTTCATATAATATTTTGGCGAAAAAAGTGACATAATGTAATTTTTGAATTTAAAAAGATTTTAAAAAACGGGACATTTTCGGGACGCCGGGACAGGTTTACAAAAACCGGGACGTCTGGTCACCCTAATATAGACTCAGCACATCTACTAAATAAAAATAACTTTAGTTCAAAACTCGGACCACTATTAAAAAATCGCTAATTTAAAAATTGTCTCAAAATAAAAAGTGCTCCCTTTTTCACAGCGGAATCATTACAGGTTTGAGGACCATGAATTTATGGATTTGGAAATGGGAGCACTTCTTCATTTTGTAGTCAAAACTCAGTGTTTTTTGCGAATTTTTAGCTAAGAATTATTTGTATTTTTTTTACATCTGTAGATGTGTTGAACTATATACACAAGGAACAAGGAAGCCTGATTTATTTAGAGCACCCGCAAATGGATATAAAGATTTTATAATTTCGACGTTTAATATATAACCCAGCACAACTTGAAAATATGCATTCTGGTCATTCCTCATTCGCCATGTATTTTATACCTAATTGTATATTGTATATTTACTGGACAGTTTTTTGTCCAATATACAATATACAATATACTTTTTTTCAAGTTTTTTAATATACAATATACAAAAAGTATGTTATATACGTATATAATATACTTGTATATTTAATATACATGTATATTGCCCACCTCTGCCGACTCTCTTCGAAGCAAAAAACTCGACTTTGTTGAAAAATACACTCAAAATAAAATGGTGTCAATCCAGCGCGGTGAAGTCACATATAGACACCGCGCGGTGTTAATGGCCCGTATTAACACCGCGCGGTGTCTATATGTGACTTCACCGCGCTGAATTGACACCACTTTATTTTGAGTGTAAGACAACGCTCCAACTGTCTCTCAAGCTCATCCAATTGAACGGTTTTGGGCACTAATCAAGAAGGAATATGCCAAACGACAAAAACCACCCAAAAACAGGATTTATACAGGTCATGACGGCAATAAGCAAAGGCGTTGGGAAAACCAGTGGCAAAGCCTTGATGGCCACCGTTCGCAAAGAGCTTCGCTCAATCGGAAGGAATGGAGTGTTTTGACCATTGGTGGACAATTTTAAGCACCTACAATACACATCTATAATTTATATAAATTTCACTAAATTTGCTATTACGATTCATTTTTTGCAGACAATAAACCTACTGCGACTTTTATTAGTGGCATATCCTTAAAACAAAAAATATAATTGGGCGTGGTTCCACGTATGTAAGAAATATTATTAGAGATACATTTGTAATAAATATGAGCGCACATGTAAAAAATCTATTCATATTTTAGTATTTTATTTTCCGTTGGAAATGCCGACGTATTTGGGGTTTGTCCATTAAAAGCAATATTTCGACTTCTTCTAGATTCGAAGTCCGAATCCACAATAACTTTAGAACACAGTCGAATTTCGGACAGACGAACAATACATTCACATAAAGGGATTTCGCTTTGTTTTACCCCTTAATAAGAGGGCAGGTCTGGTGGAGTTATTTACCCAGGTCCCACAGTATCCATCCTAGCCCAGTCGTCTAAATGGCAAGGTGGGTTCGTGGGTTCAAGTCCTGCACGTGGTATTTTTTATTTTTAACATTTTGATTGTTATCAGCTTGTTGGACAGTGTTTCCTGCGGTTTCATAAATCTCCTTCACCTTGACCTGTGATTACTGCATAGACGGTCAAAGGTAGAAAAGTTCAAATTTTAGTGCTTGTCATGCACATTATGCAGTTGTTAAAATGAAAATGCATTCGCACTTGCATGGTCTTATTAGAATAATGTATACACGTACATGTACTGTATGTACTAATACCATACATTCCCACCCTAAATTTTCCTTGCATACCCAAATCGGAGATCCACTTGCAGACCAAAAAAAAGGTACCCTAAATTTTCCTTGCCGACCACACAAAAAAAAAGGTATCACCTCACCCCGAAACTTTGGGGTATGGTGATACCTTTTTTTGGTCTGCAGTGGCACCAAACTAAAACAATACCCCTCCTCTTCGTCATCTTTCATTGTACTCTCTCTTGTGGTTTCTCCTTCAAAAAAAAATTATTTTTAAAATTTTAAAAAGTGACATTTAGAACGAGAAATGGGTAAGTACACGATTGCTTGACATTAAGGACGCGCTGTGCATCTTTTTGTAAATAAAATTTTGAGAAACGTGAAACTGGATAGCAACAACTTTCTAACTCAAATCCCAAATTGTTTCTCAGTCAGTAAAACTCAGGGTGACTTTTGCACCTTTGTACCTTAAGCAAAATTGCGGGCAGTGGCAGTACTCCAGATTTGGAAGTTTACATGTCACATTTGGTTTGTTTTATGCAAAATTTGCCTCAGAAATGTCAATCACCATTGATTACCAATTCTTTAAAAAATATGTGCAGCGTGTCCTTCGGAGGATACCGGCTCATCTTACTGAAGACCATGAGACCTCACTCACTTTACAGTTTAAATAAGCGAGTGGTACTTTTTTCACGGCGTACCTATGTATTTATATAGTGATTGCTTATGTTTATATAGGAGATATGTACCTATTCTCGATCAACACCGAGTTGAACACACTCTTAGAAAAATTGAGTAAAAAAGAGGATGACACAACGAGTTGAGTAAAATTTACCCAACGGATGTGTGAAGTTCATCCAAGTTGTGGAAAATGTATCCAACGGTTGTGTCAAATTTCCCCAGGTGCAGGATAAATTTTACTCAACTGGTTGTGTCATCCTCTTTTTTACTCAACCTTGGACAAATTTTAGTTATTTTTGTTTAGACTGCAGATATTGAGAATTCTGAGAAACTATACGTGTCACTGTCAGTCTCAAATTTCTTCAACTTAAATTGATTACGTTTTTTAATACATATCCAGCTGGGGGGATTTTGAGACTGACAGTGACGCATATAGTTTCTCAGAATTCCGGATTTCTGTAAAAGTTCAATTCCATGTGGATGAAGAGTATCCCAACCACCGAGTGAAGTATGTAGGATTAGAAAATATGTAAGCAGTAATAATTTCCTAGGTAATTTTACCCAAAGCACGGTAAGAAACGAAATTTGGCACAAACCGAAGCAACCGCTGTGTTTTAAATAGTACGACATTTATTTGCTGCCATTATCGCGAACAATTTCTGTAAATGTTCTTCGCCTCATATTCGTCAATTTTATTTTAAATGTGTGACCTATTTGTACGAGGGAGAATCATTAAGTAATGCGAATATTAGTTCATCTCGGCCATAAAGGTCGTTTGTTTCAATTAATTTTGTGACTTTTCAACATAATCTCCTTCCAATTCAATACAACTGGACATGAGCAGCACATTTCCACCCAAACGACGGAAAAGCCGTACAAGTGTGCCACGTGTGGGAGGAGCTTCGGTTAATCCATAAGGGAACCATGCAAAAGCACGAGGTAAATAAATACATAAATATTTAGTCGGGTATTGATTTCTCGGTACTAAAGTTGTTACCGCTTGATATTTAAATTGCTATGTATTTACATAAATATCTCTTATAAATTGGTCATCGATACGGTAAAACTTTAACGCGGAGCTAAATATTATTACACGGAATTACTTATGTACATGAATACCGCGTGGTATTATTTTAATACCGGATTTCTAATTCTAAGTTCGTATAATCATTTTATAGATGACGCATTTCGACAAATCTTCCCGAGCCGTGTCGAAATGCCTCCAGTGTCCTAAGACCTTCTTAAGAAAAGGTAATCTACAATGGCACATCCGAGTTTCGCATGAAAATCAAAAGAATAATCGTTGTCCGGTTTGTGACAAGAGATTCTCAAACTCATCAAACTTGAAGGCAGGGTTCGGAAATCCCCTGGGTTTTTCTAGAAAAACCCAACCCCGGGGGTTTTTCCGGGGTTTTTGGGGTTTTTGTGGGTTTTTGTAGATTTTGGGGCGGGCTGAAGCAAAATTCCTAAAATTACATATCAGAGTAAAACCAATTGATTATTCGAAATCAACAAGGAATTTTCAGAACTTTAATTGAGTTTGATTATCAAGTTAAAAGTTCATGTTTAACAAGCAAAACAGAAATAAAACCAGGAATATGCAATGATACTTGGAAATACAAGTCGCACATAAAAATACTCAGAATTTCATTCTGAATCCGAAAATTAAATTTGAATTGGTTTAAGTTGTAGTTTAAAGAATCTTGTTTCAATCTGCCCCAAAATTTTACAAAAACCCAGGAAAAACCCACAAAAACCCGCAAAAACCCCATTAAGCATTAGGGTTTTTCCGGACATTTGATACCCCAAAAACCCACAAAAACCCCAAAAACCCCAACCGACAAAAACCCGGGGTAGCGAACCCTGCTTGAAGGGTCACGTGGAAGCGAAACAATCCGTGAGCAAAGAGCTCATCTATTCCTGCCACAAGTGCGAGTTCAAGACCCACGCGAAAATCAATTTCGCCTCGCACAAAATACGCCACAATGCAGTGAAACACGAGTGTTACTTTTGTGGCAAGAAATTCATAACTTATTACGAATTGATCAATCATTGTGGAGTTGATACTTTAGAAAACTTAAAATAAGTTATTTTTACTCTCCGTTCAAAAAAATTGGGACAAGAGTGCTTAAATTTTATGACAAACTCGCTGTTAAATAGCAACGATAAAAAAGAAAATTTAACTTGAACGGGAAAAAAATAATTTAATTCGAAAATTATAACTTGAAAGCAACTAACGAATACAAAATTCTGCTAGATCTGGCAGATTTTGTTGTCAATTTTTGTAATGAAAAGTTTAATGTGTAGTAAGTACACTGCAAAAAATATGGTGTAAATTTTACACCGCGCGGGGTGCATATGTGGCTACACCGGCATGGTGTTACTATTTGTCACCGCGTGGTGATAAAACTGTCACCAGACGGTGACAGTTTTTCACCATGCGGTTGCAATTTTACACTTGACGGTGAGAATTTATCACCAAACGGTGTAGCCACATATCGACACGGCTGTTTTGCTAATATTTTTTGTAGTGTATGAATGTATAGGGGTATACATGTATTTATTTATTTATCAATACATAGTTTTCAGGTTTTTATAAACTTTGTCCCATTTGGAAAAACTTTTTAGTAGGAAACCGTGGGATTTTATTTAGTAACAAACTTACAATGCAAGTCTTTCACGTGTAAAACTCCGATTCGCATGGGACCAATTTTATTTTGTTCACCACAAAAAATAAGCATACCCGTATTTTTGCATTTTTCATAATGCGCTAATTTGAGCGCTGGGCGCGAATTTTAAACTGTTTTCCAGCCAAAACCTCGGGTTTTAAAAGATCTATAACTTTTTATGTTTTTGTGGGAATAAAAAAATTCAAAAACATGTTTCTTCTAAAGGGTGGGCTTAAAGTTTCTGGAAAAAATTAACTTCAAAACATAAGTAGTCAAAACTTTTTATTGCGTGTATAGAATATTATAATTTTTTGTATGATTATTAACTAATATTTAGAGTGTCCGCCACCAGCTTCCAACATTTGTTCAATGCGTGAATTGAATGACTGTGCCAAATTTTCCAAAACGGTAACCGGAATGCTTTCCCACTCATGTTGAAATCTTCTGAATAGCTCAGCGGTTTTGGTTGGATATGGCGGTTTGTACGCAGAATCCTTAACAATGATTCATAAATTCTCCAGAGGATTCAAATCTGATGAATTTCCGGGCCACACCCCTTTCCCCCACACTGTCAAAAGGAGCGCCTCCAAAACTTTGGTGGTCACTTTTGCAGTGTGTGCTGGTGCTCCATCTTGCTGAAAGGTGACCTTCTGTTGTTGGGGGAATAAAGTTGGGTCCTTCATGGATTTAATGTAAAGTGGGAGGATCTTGTCTTTGTAGTATGCAGCGTTTACGGTACCTCCACTTACCATATGCAGCTTTGTAACTCCTTGAGCACAGAAGCCACCAGCTACCATAACTTTTAGACCAAGTTTTGGGGTCAATATTTTCGGGATTTTTTTCGGATCAGCTGTATAGTATCTTTGATTTTGTCTGTTACCAGTTGGTGACACCTCCAGCCAGGTTTCATCAGTGAAAAGAATGTGAGAGCGTTTCTGCTGCGCCCGTCTGTCGTCACCCAAGTATCCCGTTCTCTTGACTGTTTCGCCGAATTTTAATCGGTCCTGAATATTTTTTTGAGTCAGAATCTGTTTCTTAGGTCTTTTGTAAGCCGTTTTGCCCCATTTTTGCTTTTTTGCGTAATTTCGAACCGCAGCACGACTTATTTTCTTCCCCTTCTTTTGATACCTCGCCGACTCGTTCAGCTTCTTTAGTGTTTTCCTCACGGATCCACCAATTTTCTCTTTCAAATTTCTTGTTATTTGCGATTTTGAAGTAGGGGAGAATGCTGTGGGTCGGCCTGACCTTTTTTTGTCCACCACGGTACGGCGACCTTCCCACAGTTTGACCGTATTGTAAGCAACTCCTAGTTTCCTCGAAATTTGGGAGGCACCATATCCCTCGCTCAATAGAGTTTGAATCTGCACCCTTTTCTCTTCTCGACTCCTCATATTGTTGGACTACAAGGGGAAAAAAACTTTGTTTACATGACTCTGCTGGTTTCCGAATAATATTGATTTTTATGAGGCGAGCTCACCTGATTTCACTCTTTTCAGAAACTTTAAGCCCACCCTTTAGATGACTTACTTGACTTACTAAAAATCAAAATACCACAAAATTTGAATTTCAAAATTGTTGTTTTTTTTTTAAATCTGTAAAAATAAAAAAATTCTGGAAATTTTAAAATTTTCATAAAATATAGCAAGTGGCGGAATTTAAAACACAGAATGCAACTTCCATTTTTCATCTCGAATTAAGAATCTCATTTTTTCCAAGAAATCCGCATGTTTGGAGAACGGGTCGACCGAAATTTGAGATTCATTTGAGTGAAAGGAGAGAAAAAGTAGTGAGAGGAGGGCTGATTTTGTTATGGGCCACTTTATCAACTTTTTATTGCTTCTGCTCTTCTCGTCCGTCGGAAATGTGACGTCATCCAAATTTTTTCTAAAACAAAAATGTTACCACAACTTTAACCCAACTTTCACCACGTAATAGCTTTTTGTATAGTAAACTAGGCTGGGACTGGACACTCAGGTATAAAATTGTGATTGCGCGACACGTCCACGCAATACCTGAATAGCAAAAGTATGGACAAAATTTGGTCGTCCGTAATTCAATCAATTCAATAAACTGCGTAATAATTTGTGTACCCAATTTCTATTCAATTTCACTTGAAATGCAAGTCTCCCAGCGCATGCTTTCCGATTCTGGTCAAACTATACGACCTTCGAACGGGCACGTTTGGCAGAGATATTTGCATCCAAAGGGGGGAAAACGCGCCCTATGGTTGATACATTTTACACTTTCCAAATTTACTTCGCGTTTTCTCCTCTTTGGATGCATGTATCTCTGCCAATCGTGCCCATTGGGAGGTCGTATCTTTCGAATATTTCATACTAATTAAATTTGTCATCGATTGACATTAATTTGACAAAAATCTGAGGCAGCATGTGCATTGTTGTATTGTTTTATTATTACTGTGTTAAGACATAAATCATTACAATTATTTCCAATATCGAATACAGGTTGCAATAAGTCAAATAGTATTAAATATATTTAAAATCATTTAACAGCTTGTTTAAATTGAAAAATTTTGAAACACAAATTCATCTTTCCTTTTTTGTATAATTAATTGGCGGAGGGTTTTGTCAAATTCTTCGGAGGAACTAATTTCTTTGATATTGCATTGGAGAGTTCCATTGTGAGACAAAACGAGAAATCCATGGGTCAGCCACTACACATATTTTTCCCATATTTCACCTCGTTTCCTATTTTTGCCCAATATGCATTCCGTGATTATGGGTAATCCATGTTGGCGTTTTTTGTTATTGTGACCAACTTGAAACAATGGCATGTAACCTATTAAACGTGTAATTAAATTCTGCACCTACCACAACGTGACTTTATGGGGGTTTTTCTGAAAAAGTTTAGAAATAAAATAAATCATGCATTCAATGCAATGCTTTAAATGCACGCGAATTTAGCTTCCGTAGCACATTTGAGTTGGAGAATAACTCGTCTGTTTTCGGACCTGGGGACCTGGAAATTCCCTAAAACGATGTGGCCAATCCCAAATGAGGATTACATGCCAAATTTGAATGCAATTAACTCAATGGTAATTTTAAATTAACTCAAATCACAATACCGATAATTCTTGTCAGCATCTGGGGCAATATGAAAAATTGGGGCACCTTGAGAAAAAACGCTCGTACACGTGTAACCTAATTTTTGATTCCATTCGACACGTCTAAGAGCGTTTGTAGTTTCGTGACAGTTTTGCCAACACCATGTACTCTTTTATCTGAAGCTAGTCATTGTAAACATGTGATCAGCTCATATTTCGCTGAATATCTAAATGTATAAATATCCCAATTGTAAAGGGATAAATGAGAAATTATTCATAATTTCTGGAAATAAAGGATCTAGTCAAGCAGATCTGCCGCAAATCGTCATATTTAACTTTTGAATTTTGAAGTGTTTTCTCATCTTCCAAGATATGTGTACACGCGACCTATCGTCTCACTATTAGTAATTTGCTTAATTATTTGGGCTACTGATACAGACTCTTATATGGATTTCTTGCACGAAAAAAGTATTCCGTAATTCCTTCATTATTTTTGGAAAGAGTGCACACTCTAAATAAAAATAACTAAAATTTACTCCAGGTTGAGTAAAAAAGAGGATGACACAACCGAAACGTAAAATTTACCCAACCAAAAGGTAAAATTTACCCAACCGTTGTGCAAAATTTACCGAACGGATGAACAAATTTTGCCCAACGGTTGGGTAAATTTTACCTTTCGGTTGTGTCATCCTCTTTTTTACTCAACCATGAGTAAATTTTAGTTGTTTTTATTTAGAGTGTACAATTAACATTAATGTGCTGGTCTCCCTTGTTCAGCGGACGAGCATAAAGTCAATACTTATACACGTATATATGTATATATACCACGCATATCCAGATATCTACGTCGTACCCACAAACTCTAAATTTGCGTCAAATCCTAATCAAATCTGATCGATTAGATCACTGATTTTCCGAGAATGAAATTTATCATTTATTACTTTACGATGGGGGATATTGGTAAATATTAAGCGAAATATGCACTTTACACAATTTTATAATTCACTCTGGCATCCGACAAACATGCTGACGCAAATGCATGCACAACTTGTCAGAAGTATGGATTTATTCCTGCGTCGCTTTTTATTTATTTGATAAAACTGCGAGATACGTAATTTTAACAAACCGACGCACTGTAACGTTATTTGAATTTTCGAAATTCCATAATAATAATAATTATTGATACATTTAAGAAACCTATTTTACCAGAAACCTTGATCGTTTCATCTACATGGCATTTCTTAAAAAATCATTTATAAAAATTCATTGTTGAAAAAATCCTGTATCTATAAAAATATTTTATAAATATAAATACATATACACAAACTTCAGGTTACTATTTTTACCTAATTGTAAACATTGATCAAAGAAGAAAATAGAGAAACGACGACTTATGCTTAAGAGTAAAATGTGTGCGTCATTTGTTAAACCAGGTTTTTGGTTTTATACATAATTTGGTTTCTATCGCTAAAGACATGTACCTGAAAATTTGGCTTTTTACCTGGACAAGAGCATGAATGAAAAACAAGGAAGTAGCCTAAATTCAAGTAATAAACCAGTCCAGTAGACAAAATATAAAACAATCAATGAATGGAAACTTAAGCTGGACAATACGTCCAAATAATTTTTTAACTTACGTATTTAGAAGTTTCTCATTAACTTTATCATGAAACAACTTTTAACTTTAGACAAAACATTTGATCATAAAACTATAGTCAACAGTAATCAAGGCAGATGCGGTGTGAAATTCGCACTGGGAATCTTTAATACATAATTGCATGTTCCATTCACCTGTAAAATTGGAAATTGTTATCTCGCCAATTGTAACAGATAAGTATAACTATGCGATATAACTATGCGATACCGATAAATATGCGCTTCAGCGTTGCAAAAGTTAATAACCCGCAACCTTGAACTTGAACTCAATCAGTCGTGATAGAAATCCCAGTCAAAACTGTCAAATTGGGCAGCCTCACTTCATATTAAAAACGCTACTCAATATTCCTGAAAGGCCAAAATTACAATAAAATCTAAACTACTTCGAATTATCCAGTATGTCAACTAATTTCCCTACTCGTGAAGTGACAAAAATCCTAATTTACGAGGTGAGCCTTATCGAACAAAGGGAATGGTTTGCCGAATTACTTGGAATTAACCCAGCCCGTCGGAAGCAGTTAGGCAATAATTTCAATACCGGGAATATTTCAGGTGAACAATATTTCTTTGATTTGTTGTCGGCATGGGTGCAACGTTTAGGGAGGGACGCTAACATAACCAAATTTTGTGGTATCCTTGAGGGCGCAGAGTTTAAGCACGCTGCAGGTAGAAACGGTTTAATATTTGGGATACACTAACAATGGAACCTTTTTTGCAGTTACACCGGGATTTTGTAGTAAATGAGTAAGCCAAAGCCAAAAATTAGGAATCACGTGACATTTACAAATCGCGTGACACTCCTGGCGTAGTAGCTTGAAAAGAGGTTTCATTGTCAGCTGATCAGTATAAATTAACATAAAAATATTGAAACATAGAACTGCGTCATTGTTAAATTCTTTCATTAATTAATTTATATCCTTAGAAATGGTCAAGACTATGGCTGACGCGCTTAGGAGAGTAGACGACTTATCAAGGCATGCCGCTCGGGTGCCACATTTATCAAAGCCATTTGTTGGACGGACACAAAAGAAGAAAGAACTCATCAGTAACAAGACCGTCACGAATGGATGCATCATTTACGGACCGGACGGGATTGGGAAGACACAGTTCGTCCTAAAAACCTTCGAGGAGGAAGGCATCAGCTGTCATTTTCTTAATGGCGAAAGCATTACGAATTTGAGAGCATCGTTAGAAATGTATGCCAGAGAACTTAACTGCAACATTAAAAAGGGAGGTAGGGAAAAATCGTTGACTAGATTATTCAAATCCGTCTGTGATAGGAAGAATGGTACCAAGTTGGTCACCGTTATCGATGGACTTAACGGTAACGATGATGAGTTGACCGAGGTAATAAATAATTTCAGTCAGCATTGTCCCAGGGTTAATCACTTCTTCGTGATCACAACGAGAAATACCAATTTACACTTCAACAATGAATCAACCAGATTTTGGAGTTATCTGGAATTACCCGTTTTCACAAATGAAGAAGCCGACCAATTTGTAAAAACGATTCTTGCAGATGAGAATGCACACGATATCAGGGAACTTAATGAGGAATTAGGGAATTATCCAAATCTAATTAACCAAGCGGTTTGGAAAATTGAACACACCAAGTACACGAAACGTGGGCTCTATTCAATTAGAAATTTCTTGACTTACTACTTAAAGATTAAAAAAACCCTTGAAGAAATTAATGTTCCTATCAGCACAATCATGCAGGTGGTAATATACCAACTTTTCAATTTCGAGAACCCTGACAAAGGGTTAGCAGCTCCAATTCTGGAACTGCTAGCATTCGTGAAGGCCGATGGAATTAGGTTGACGGACTTGAAAACTATTTCACATTATTGGCAAGGTATTGATGTAAGTAGAGTAGAAGAGTCCATAGGATGGCTTAATAAATATTCCTGTATCTCGGATTATACTGATTCTGGAAGTAGCGACAGGATCATATCTATTAATCCATCCCTGCAAGACGTTGTAAAATTATGTTTGCGTAAATTATACCCTGAAGAAAATATGGAAGCATTACGTCTCAAACATTTTTTCGACAAATTGCCACTTAATTTTATAGAAACTTCACAACCAAGCAGACTTGCCCAATTGGCTGGAATCTGGCAGATTTTTTCTAAGGCATATCTTACAACGTATCATATCCCGCATGAGATGGCAAAGCACATACATGACAGATATGAAAAGCTGGGGCTTTTCTCAAGCGCGGAGTCGTTCATTTTCGATCAGCTAGACAAATTTATAGATATTTTAGGCAATGACGATTTAGGCACCTTAGCCATCCGTAAAATCTGTGGTATCGCAAAGAGGAATGTGGCAAAGTTTCCAGTGGCGGAAACCCTATTTCGGGAAGTGCTGGATCAAGAAAGGAGACAATTAGTCGAAAACGTCCCAGAAACGCTGGATATTGAACATTGGATCGTGTCGATGTTATGGAGACAAAAAAAACGCGAACAGGCAGAAACTGAAATCAAAGATTTGATTGAAAGATGCAAAGCTGCAGGTGTGCAAACAATCGAAATGAAGGCTAAGCATGTGCTAGGGTTGATTCTAGGGGACCAGAAAAAATTCAAAAATAGCTTACAAATACATGTTGAGGTATTGAATTGGAGACAAAAAAAATTACCTAGAGGTCACAACGATATTGTCGCGTCACTGCATAACATAGCGTATTGTAAGTATAAGTTGAAAAATTATGATGGAGCTATTTCAGACTTTATGTACATCCTTGGAAACTTCAGCAAATCGCGAACTTTTGCTGATTACTTGAGATCAAAGTATTGGATAATTATGTGCGTATCAGAAAAAGTTGGGGAAAGTCGACCCGAAATATTGTCCAGATGCATCAGCAAATTGACCGAACTTCTTGGAAGCCAGAAATTTCTCTTGCGTAAAAATCATCCACACATTTTGGACACAGACAAGAGTATAAAAAACTTTCAAGAAAAGTTATCTAAAGAAAGGATATGCAACCGTACTCTGTTTTTCCGAGATGTTAATGGTTTCTTTTTGCGATGAGCGATTTATTAGCGACAAAAAAATCACATTTAGTAAATATAAACCATATTTAACATTAATGATAAATAATTGAAATATATCTAAATAGGACCAATATCTATACATAAATGTTTAAAATATTTCAAGTAGGATTTCGAAACAAATCGTACGATAAAATTGTTGTGGACAACTGGTTTTGAGTAAGCAGGTTTTGAGGGAACTAATTTTAATTGTTAGATTATTAATTTTATTTCGTTCGCAACCAAAAATGAGTAGAATTATCAAATCGGAAAATGAGATGATCACTTACGTATTGTATGTATATGATTAGAAATATGCATTGTTACCTTTCCATGAAATACCGTAAATACTCTATTTATAGCCCTATTCTAATTATAGCCGGGTCTGGAGGCCAGTATTTCAGAATTTTGGCCGGGTTTCTAATTAGAGCCGGGTCTCTACAAATCTGTAATTATATCCTGTCTGGTCAACTGTATGTATTTCTAGGATCTCTAGCAAAATTCCGCACATTCAGTTAATTAACGAATAAGATTAAATATTATATACTCGTAACTATAAATTGCATTTTTAATAAGAATGTATACAATTGTTACAAAAAATTTGAAAATCACCAAATTTCGATGAAAGACCATGATTTTAGTTTAGATTTCAAGTGAATGGTGTATTACTTAATTGCATCTTGTTAAATAAAAAAGAAATTGTGTGAATATGAGTTATATCTGATCTTTTAATGTCTCAAATTATAGCCGACAAAAATTTTACCCGGGTCTCTAATTATAGCCGGTCTCCAATTATAGCCGGGTCTGAGACACCCAGTTTTGGATTTTAGCCCCGGCTATAAATAGAGTATTTACAGTTTGTAGTTTCCTGTTAGTCAATAAACTTTGCGGTAAAATGTAAAGTTGCGAATTATTTTGGTGTAGGGCGCGTGTGGTCTCTTTCACGTAATTTTCATCATAATCTCCTTTGCAATAGCTGACTTTTGCCAGCCAATGTTTATCGATCAAGTTGGGATGGTTGCAAGCGAGACCTCTGCAGCAGTCGTTATCCCACTCACAATGTTGATGAAATTACATTACATTACAAAGGAAAAACCAATCTAGGAAAATTATACTAATACCGTCATTGACTCCACGCAGATTTATATTTCTTCGATATATAAGGGGCCCCCACAATCAACTTCAAATCATAAGCAACTCGACTATACCCAAGTCCAACAAATCTTTCACACGCGGGAAACCTATATTTTCTCAAGAAATCTAAACATAAAGTAAGGAAATCAATATTTATAAAGTTTGAAATTTTCGAAAAATTTCGAAAAATTCTTTACCAAAAAATGTTCCCTGAATTACTAATTTTTTATTTAGCACAAATTTGAATATTTTTTGTGACTTTTTCCTGCATTGAAAATAATTTTGTCAGAATAAAAAATTATCGAAGTTTAATATTTTTAATTAACACATATGGAACAAGTTTGACATTTTTCGGCCCTAAAATTTAAAGAATTTTTAACGTTAATAAAAATCTATTCAAAAAATCAAAAAATTGTTGAAACTAATTTGACTCAAAAAATTAATTAATTGGTTTTGTAAATTTTAGAAATGCAGTCATCTCGCCTTCTCCTCCTTTGCGCCGTGGTCCTCGTGGTAGTCGTGGCTGTGACTGAGGGTCAAGTTGGGAGCACGGGGTGCAGTAGGAGATGGGCGCCGGCCGAGTGGTGTTGGCGCTACTGTTCGGGGTCTTCTGGGAGCTGGTGTTACACGGGGAAACAGGGGCCATGTGAGACGGCCTCCTGCACGGGAGGATCCTGCTCTGGGATCAGTTGCCAAGGCACGGCGGCCGAATGCGTTGGGCATTGCTAATAATATCTAAATCGGTCATTTGGATAAATCTTGATTCATGAATTCGTCTCTTTTTTAGTTTAATCATGACTAATTCATAACTTATTCAATTCTTAAAAATTTCACAATAATTAATAAGGATGTAAATACTTATCTATTCGTTGAGATACTACCTTAAAAATAATTTACAAATTTTATATCGCTAATTGATAATTTCGTAAGTATTGCTTGCAGTGAATGGTTGCGGGGGCCTTACTACGCAATTGCAGTTGAGCTTCGTAACCTTTGAACCTTTGAACCTAACCTAACCTTTGAACCTTCGTAAATTTATCGCCAATTAGTGTTTAGAACCAAATTTTTTGATATTTAAGACAACATCGTCTACAATGTGCGTGCAAAACTTCGTATTCTACTCCATATTCATAGGATTTAAAAGTGCACAACAACTGTCAAAATATTGCGAGATCATCATAACTAGACTCTTCAAATCCTCAACATTTCTCATCCTCAAAATTTAATGGGGAGAATCCAGAAATTTCTTGATTCCGCCGATATCATTATTGTGTTCCACGAATGTAAAAATAATGCTGACGTTTCACAGGTTATCCCAACCCAACAATCAAAATATTTGCGATAGGAGTTCAGCTTACGTAATATTACGTAAAAGATTAATTAATGAGAGCAGATAGAAACGACCCTATCTCTGGATTTGTGATAATCCTTAACTAAATCCTCACTTTAACATTCCCATCCCAGCAGAACAGAGATTTGCCTTGATTGTGCATAGCCAAAGTTATCACACAATAAATATTTAAACGTTCTGATAAAGATTAACAAAATATTCCATGGGTCGAGGGTCTCTGCGTAAATTTGGTCATACTAGATTCCCAAAAATTTTACCTTGTGCCATCAATTACAAAGAAATTCCTCATGTCCCTCTTCAGTTCGTATGTATGGGCATTCCATCATAAATTCGCCATCATTCAACTAGTCAGTATCGAGTCACTGAGCTGTTTCTGATTAATCATTATAATCAAGCAAATGTGATAAAATAAATCTGATAACTGACATTTCACACGTTATACTGAGTAAAGTTTAGTTACCTTTTCCAGGTCCTCCGATCCGGTCGATTAGAGGAGAGAATCGCGTACAAAAATAATTTCAAGGTTTAATTATCCTTCGCAACAACTATGTTACCAATAGTTGGACGAACTGTGGGTTTTATTTCCACCTTAATCGGGCTCACCACTAGTGCCATGTACGATGGGCACAGCATGCTTAGAGTTACACCACAGACCAAGCGACAAGAAGATCATTTAAGGGACCTGGGTAAACATCAAGGGGTATGGGCACTCTAAATAATTTGGTAATAACACTATTACCATGCGGAGACAGTATAAGTGCCTTCGTAACGACATTGAGTCATCGCCTTGTAATTGTCTTATTACCGGAATATTTACATACAATGAAGAACGTATCTATACAAAAATGGTGTCAAATTTTCCAAAAGACTAAACATTGCCCGCTTTTCTATGTGTCCATAATCAATTTTCATTTTTTTTGACCTTTTAGAATATAATAAAAGTAATAATTTCAAATCAAAATAATTATTAATCAATTATGTCCTATTTTTACTTTTAAGGTATCATTTATTGGAGGTGATCCTCTTGTTGGGGATCATTCCCATGTAATTGCTTCCCCACAAGTGTTGGATTTTGTGTTGGAATCTTTGAAAAAATTCGAAACTGAGCATCTTCTAACTAATCCTGATGTAGGAAGGTAAGGCCGCTTTTAAAATGGGATTCATTTTCTAATATTATTTTCTAATTTTTCTAATTTCTAATTTTCTAATTTCACTTTCTAATTCTAATATTTCTAATCATCATTTTCTAATTCCAGAAAATTGTTTGAGATTTCCCCAGATTTTTCCCTCATTTTTATTCCCCCGCAACCCTCGTCTTAAATTTCTTACATTCCCTGGAAATCCGTACCCTCGAAATACTCTCAAGTTTTCTGCAACCAATCCATATTATTTTTTCAAATAATTTATTGAAGGCAGACAAATTTGTATACCTAACCAAATCGTACAATTTTATCAAGAACAATTATTCCTTTGCCTCATAAATACTTTTAAAAAATAGGTCAATCCGTTCTCAAAAGGTCAGGACTAGAACGAATGGAGGGATATATCAGTTGGGACGCATACTACGATTTGGACTCGGTTAAAAAACTTACATATTTATCTATTCCATTCAAATCTCACCAACTAATTTTCCCGCTAATTCTTTTTTTAAATAGATCAACCAATACCTGACCGTTCAAAGTGTCGGACATCCTGACCTCGTGACCCTCACAACGATCGGAAAATCGTTCGAGGGAAGGGACTTATTTCTCCTCAAAATTAACAATGGCAGCACCACGAAACCAATTATATGGATTGATTCTAATATTGTAAGAATATTATTACCGCCATTTTTAAGCTAATTATTTCTTCAAATGGAATCTTATTTTAGCATGCCCGAGAATGGATTTCATCCGCGGTCGGGCTCTATTTGATCGATCAACTCCTGAATAGCCCAGATATTGAGATTCAAGCTTATTTGGACGATTTTAATTTTCACATTTTACCCATGGCTAACCCGGATGGATTCGTTTTCTCTCATTTAACCGTATAAATTCAAATGAATGTCAAGGGATAAAAAACTTCCATACATTTTTGCAAGTGAACTTGAAATATACGGCTCGATGAAATATCTGAAAATTATGTCAACGGGTTATTTCTACGGGTACTTCCAACCGGTGCATTAAACGGATGCCTTTAACGGGACCCAATATTTTAAGTATCAACAATTTATAAAACATCTTACTTGTTGTTGTCACGATGAACTTGGTGGAACAGCCTCGTATAGAACTGCATGTGATGGACATGGTATATATTTGGCGGTATTTCAAACTTGTAGTTGTTACAACCACAAAGTAGTCCTACATTAAAACTCTTCTTTGGACGCAAATTAATCGTTTTGCCGACGGATTCGTTCCACCAAACTATACTCTCTGGAACAGTGATATCAGTCGCAACATGAACCGCTATCATTGCTGCCCGTTGTACATTGACTAGAGGGTACCGGTAGAGATTATGCGTCATCACGTCCCTATCTTGACCTAAAAGAAAATGTTATTCAACACATTGTTTAAAGTTTCCACCGTTGAATGCCCCCGTTGAATTTCTAAATGTCATAAGTCAAATTACCAACTTTCTTTACCAGGAAGAATGTTTTTCGACAATCAGGAAGTAATTCTTGCTCCAAGGACGTGAGGTTGTTTAAACGATCTGCTACTAATGGGGCAAGATCCATCCAATCTTTTTCATATATTACAATGTGCTTGTCGGTTCTCATTTTCATATCAACGCTTGACTTTGATGAAGTTAAAACCACAGTCTTTCTTATAATATCATGTACGGCAGAAACCATCAAGTTGTATCTTATTTCTGGTAGCAAAAAATAAATAAAAGTAAATAAAACTTTGTTAGGTTGGAAAATTTGCTGAAAACCCCACACTGAATATTCACCTGTGCCTACTACCGTGCGATTCGACCTAGATGGCCATAACATGCTCATTTCACAGTTGTCAATCATTATAAAATCCATTTCATATATTCTATCACACGGATTCAATATCTCCTCCAGTCCTTTGAAGTACGAAATTTTACGGTCATGCACTTTAGGAAACTGTTTCACTTGTACTAGTCCGTCTATTAAAACAACAGCGTAATTAATTACCCGCTGAAAAATCCGTTGACAAACCCGTTGAAACTTATGTAACTCACCTATTTCAATTATGCTCCAATCTTCGCCAACAACCATTAAGCCATCAATCTTATCCACCGCATTATCCGGAAGAATATCACTCACCGACGATGCTCCCAACGAGCGGTCTTCGCTGACATTATTACTTGATCTAACAAGCGACAAATTTATCACAGAGGGGCTTGTCAGAAAACTATTAGCCCCAACTGAACCACCACCACTCCCTGTATTTGCACCCCTGACATCCTCCCAACTCGAACGACTGATCCTGGTTAAATTATCGGTTGAAATGTCCATCCCTGATTCCACGGGGATTTTCGAAGGTAACAATCAATGGCGACTTTCAACGGGGAAAGCAATATGTCAATTCCAGAAACCGAAAAATTTTCAATCCATTCCGGTAACGAATAACTAACGAATTAATGTTTTTTTTGGTTTTGAGCAACTAAATTAATATAGTTACTTAACCTTTTACAACAGTGTTTTCAATTTTTTGGGGGGTGAGTTACCCTACTACTACTACTCTCGTCGGCGTCTACAAGTGAAATGAATTTTTTGGACAGTGTCTATTCACTTATATACCAATTTTCAACCCTATACTTACCACGTTAAACAGGTTTTTGTTAGAAATTGACAAACTTTACAATTCTAACATCATGCACATATACCTACAGAAATTTCCATATACTCATTTTAAATATCTAAGCAATTCGCAAATGTTTTTGGCACACTATCCGTTGAATATTACCCATTGAATCTACCCCGTTAGAGACCCGTTGCATATGTATCCGATTTAAATGAACCCGTTGAAACACATCCGCTGACCGGAGATACGCGATATGTTAATAGGTTTCAACATTGGGTGGTTAAAGCAAATACTAGTCCCCGCTGAATAATTCATACGTTTAATTACACCCTAAACCCGAATCCCCGCTGAATAATTCATACGGTTAGTTACACCCCAAACCCGAAACTTGATACTTTCGTCCCTCCTAGTACACAACAAACAACGTCAAACTAGTTATCAAATAGTGTTTTACAGTCAGCTTCCCGAGATTTACTAGTCCCCGTTGAAATTTCATACGTGTATATTCTCATGGAGCTTAAAATTGGCAAAAACATTCAAACAAACCCCCCCTAAAATAAGGAAAACAACATGAAACCGGTAAAATAAGTACCCCTCAAGGGTCTACTTTTCGAGATATACGTGTCCCCGTTGAAAATTACATCTAGTAAAACTCTCAAACTTGGTTATAGACCCCACTTACCTATCTAAAATGGAAGTTTTACGACTAGTAGTATTCAAATATAAAGTTTCCCTCAGGGGTAAAGAGGTGCTTCCCAAAACTTTCTCATGGCTAAATCCTGTTACCTAACCTAACCTAACCTAACCTAACCTAACCTAACCTAACCTAACCTAACCTAACCTAACCTAACCAGAAAGAAGTCGAAGGGGAGCAACAGATATACTTGCCTCAACATGGGTTTGGAGGTACATAACAAGAGTGCTCCAGTACGTTCAGACCAGAACAGTAATAAATATGAGGCAACAGAGAAGCCAATTACTGCAGCAGCATTATATTCCGGAGGGGTGAAATAAAGCTCATATTGACATCCGAGTCAAACCTGCTACCATCTGAAGAAGATGACAAACGAGGAGAAGTCAGAGAAGATGAAAGAAACCAACGTCTGATTCAAATGCCTCAAGAAAGGTCATCGCTCAAGAGAGTGCAAAGCCAGAGTGAAGTGTGCCTCGTGTGGGGGTTGCCATTACAAACTCTTTTGCTTTGGAAAGAAGATGGAGGAGGAGTCAGCTCACCAGATTTCCGAAGGGGTCCAAGCGCTGATTACAATTCAACACGCTGTGGCATTGGGAGCTACCGTCATGAACAATAAGCGTGTCCTCCAAGGCACGATGAAAGTGAAAGTGTTTGGTGCCAAGGGTGAATTCCGAGAAGTGCGATTGTTGATCGATTCCGGAAGCAATGTGAGTTACATCCGAGAGGACTTGGTACAAGAACAGAAGTTGCAACATTCAGGAAAACGTGTGTTCCGCACAGAAGTGTTTGGCGGCGGCAGCGAAATCTGTACCAGGCGGCAATACCAAGTCAAGATTGAGGGATTGCCAAGAGGAGTCAGGAGTGAAATAGTGCAATTGCCCCTATATAGTGCTCCTCTAATATGTGAAGGCTTAGGCCCAATCCCTGTCAGTCCTTGGATCAAGAAGTTGCTGAAACTCAATGTGGTACTCACCGACATCCATGCAGAGTCCAACAAGATCGACGTGCTCATCGGAGCCAATCTTTTATACCCATGTCCCATTGGCCGGAAAGGCATGGCGGTTGCTAAATACGACCATAAAAGTTGAGCAACATCTACAATCAGCTTTTAAACACATGGGTATTCTGGAGCCGTCGGCCAGTGAGGGAAAGAGAAATCTGAGGTAAGCTTAAATGTATAGGTTAGGTTGCACTTGGTAATTCATAAGGGATGTCACAAACGGCTGGGGGAATTTGTAATTTTATTGTACCACTCTATTAAAAAAATTCTATAGAGTTAACTTACAATAATACCATTCTGTATGTTTTTTTTTATTTCGTGGATTTTATTGATTCGTTCATGTCTATTTTTCACAATTTTTTTTTCACCAATGAAGATGATAAAAAGAACACTACTTTACTATTTTGGAACATTGTATATCAAAGCCAGGATGGAATTCTTTAAATCTTTCAAAGTTAAGAAATTTGAATGGGGTGAACGTGATTCCAAAGTTAAAATTGTCTTACCAAAATGGAGACAAGATGAGTCTGATCCACCCAAAACAAGTGTCAACAAATATGTCGCAAAAACATGTGCTCAATTATTATTGAAAAACGAAGAAATCACCGGACAACAAGCCAAGATAGAATTTCAAAACTGGCTGCAGTCAAATGAACAAAATCATGTAACCGAACACAAATCTTTGCGTCCTATTAAACAAGCTCGGAGATTTTCAAAAAATCAGCCACATTTGCGCGTCCTTATTATTATCAATGTTCTGATTCTTGAGCAGCAGATATAGTTTTGGTCGATTTATTAATTTCTCCTTGTAATTTCCTATAAATTTATTTCTGCTATTTGTTTGTTTAGCATCATATCCACATTTAGCCAAACTTCTCACATAGTTACTGGTAAGCAAGTTTATTTAAATTAAATATGTAATAATTATTGGCAACACAATTTTTGTATCAAGTCTAGAGTCAGATCCCGTTCAAAATGCAGCAGCGTTTCTTTATTTCGTTGTTTGTGCAAAATATTCTTATCATCCTATCGTCCGTGTCCTGCTTATCACCAATACCGACCATCCAGCTGGCTCAAGGGGCTTGCAAAGAACCACCGAAATCAGTCGGGGTGGTCGATCTTATAATGTCTTCTATGGCGTCCCATTTGGCAAACCTGAAAAACTATTCGAGGTAGAGAATTAGTTAACCTAAAATATTTTAGTGTTGGCTTATCTTTTACATTGAAATGCTTGACAATCGCTAAATTTAGATATCAAAACCAGCTGATGGTTGGCCCGGGGTTAGGCATGCCACGGCAAACGGGCCGTGTTACGGCGCCGGCGCCTGTAGATAACTTATCTTATGGGGTGTAGGCCCAACGGCGCCGTAAACTGGCGACTTTGTGATAATGCGATAATGTCTCCCTTTTCACTTTGCAAGACCCTTTGTAGAAATAAGGCCAATAAAATCCCAGAATTAGCGCACTTCAAGTAACAAATACACACACTATTTACTACTGTACAACGATGAATTGGAGCTTAATTATTGCAATAATCAATTAACTTTTTTAATGACAAACTGTTTCTTCTTCTATGCCTTGCTACTTACTTGCTTCCTTACTTTCTTACTACTGACTGGCTGCCAGCACGCTCTATTCTCTTTTCTGTGTGGAGAGATGGCGGGAGCAGTCCCAGTAAGTCTCCGTCACCACTTCTCTCCCTATGCTATTTTAATTACATAAATTACTCATTATCTAAAAAACTGTAAGGGAAAACAAAGATATTACATTTTTATAATAACTACGGTATTATTATCTATTACATATAAAAAAATCAGGTTACGTTTCGGCTTATAAGTTTTCCAGATTTGTGCAAATTTAACTGGGAACTATCAATAATTACTTAATAACTTAAAAACTATTCGGGAAAACACTAATTTTCTTTTTCCTAAAATTAGTTCATACCCCATGCCTTACTATAAGTCACAAATATACATACATTTCGGATCTCGTTATCAAATTATTCTCTTATCAACATATTTGCGCAAGGTTGCCTAGCAACCTTCACCCGTGGTTGCCTAGCAACCTCCACCACCACTTCTACTTAAAATACTGATTTAAATACATGATGCTCATTTTGTAACAGGGCGGAATGCGTCAGCACTGGATTTGTAGAAAACGGTCCAGTTGTCGGACAGCAGGATTGTGTTAACCTGGATGTGTACACTCCAATCTTGTTTAAGTGTTTAATTTTAAATATTTCAACTACAATTTTTTGAGTGGAACTTCTTTGCGTGCAGTTGCCGCTAAATAATTCATCGGTTGGGGGAAAACTTCTTCCCGTTCTGGTCTGGATTTACGAGGGTGGATTTGTCGAGGGGACTAATTACGTGTATATGGATGATCCTACTTTATGGACGAGGATGTCGTCCTGGTCGTCAAAAATTATAGACTGGGCGCATTTGGTGAGCCAATACATATTAGGTCAATTTATCCATTTGTGACAACCTTGTGAAGGGAGGGATTCAAGTTAAGGATTTTTTTGCGGCAGGATTTTTCAATGCTGGAGTTGAAAGTGCGAGAGGAAATCAAGGTATGCAAGGTTTAGCAAATTTGGTGTTCAAATATTACCAATATAGTATGCCAAAAAGTCCAGGCATGAAGGACCAAGTCTTGCCGTTCCGTTGGGTACGACAATATCGCACATTTTTGCGGGGACGAGGACAACGTAGTTTCACCATTTTGGGAGAAAGCGCAGGTGGGATTTCCGTGTCGCTTTTGACCGTGTCCTCCATGGCAAAGGGCCTCTTGGGCGGAGCCATCATGATTAGTTTGCTAGTTATCAGTGGGTGAAGTTAGGTGATCCCAAAGTGATGTAAGTTCACATACTTAGCAGATTATAAATTTTAGGACTAGTCAGAAGTTATATATACTTGTACATTTATGCAATTTTTGAAATTTAGAGTTTACAAACATTTTAAAAATTATCAGCAAGCTATTCTACCCATCGGATTAAACTAAAGAATGGACACTAAAGTTGTAGACAGTCAAGTTTAAAACCCTGTAAATTTGAAACCAGTTAATGAAATTCCATATTCCAATTGCATATGTTACAGAAAATGTAAGTACAATTTGAAATTAATTTATAGATAATGCTTCCACCGCACCTGTAGCCAACAATTCGATCATATGTCTGAGATTTTCCATCAAATTTTTTCCCGAATTTATTCCGACTTCTAAGCTAATTTCCTTCTACCTTCCCTTAAATTTTCTTGGAGTGTCGGATATCTCTTCAAGCTTTGAGTATATTGATTTAGAAATTGCCCAAAATTTGCATATTAGCATATTGCTTGTTTATAAATTATTATTTGTTTCTCCATTTCTCGACGACCAGTTAAATTTTTCAGCAAATAATATAACCGTGTACCCGTGTACGGTCAATGATAATATTTGAATGATTGTTTGTGCATAAGAGATCCTATTATGTGGCTTCATTTTACAGCAAAAATTATTTCAAAAAAATTAAAAATGTGAAAACGACAGGCAAATTTATATACAAAAATGGCATGAGATTGCAGAGATGACAAATTTTGCGTCCACAGTATAGTGTAATTTCTTAATGGTCAAGGGTCTGTATGATGATTCTTCTCACTGCGTATGTAACTGGATGGCGAATGACTGGTGTGACCGGGATGTAAATAAAGGCGCGAGGTGGTCACAATATTAGTTAATTTACGGTGGTGTTTAATTGTCATAAAGCCAATAGTTACAAATCAGGGGTAATTCTTTAAAATAGTGACGAGCAGTACAAATGATGAGTCGTCAGACACTAAACTGACACTGAACTTTTCACACAAAACTTTTACAAAACTAAGGCAAAATCACTGACAACTCACCCAAGCCACTTTTAGCAAAGGATCGTCCTTCACACTCTTTCTACCAATGGGAGATGCCCACACCCGACTTTGTAGGGTGGAGTGAAAAGGTCACAAAAAGGTTCAAGGAAGTACGAATAATTAAAATAATAAGATAAAGAGTGGACAAATCTCCACTTAAAACGCGACTGACTGTCACAACTTGAATTTCCTTATTTTACCAGTCTCATTTTCCACGCAGTTACACACATACATACATCATCATTTGAATGCCATTATCATGTGTCATTTTCATAGAACATTAAATTAAGCATTGTTATCATTATTCTAATTCTCGACGGCAGATAGTTTTTAGATTGATTTGGGTTCCGTGTTTGCAATGGCATTAACTAACTTAACCAGATCTCTTTCGATGACTTTTGACATTTTACCTATTCTAACAAGTTTTATTTAAAGCAAGATTGGGTGAAAAAATCGCAAAACAATTAACATGTAAGCTGTACAGGCAAAATATCCATCCAGGTAGACGCAATATTTATAGCATTTGCTTGATTGAACTTGATTGAACTTTTTTCATATACTTACAGGGGTCATGTGCGCCTGTGGTAAAAATCTCAGCCGTGTACACCCACAGTAGCGAGAATAGTTGCCGGCGAAATTTCGAAAATAGCAATAATGAGAAGGAATTTGGCATCGCCATTAAAAGTAGAAGGGGTTGATTTTTTTCGACGTCCGTATAGTAAGAAACTAATTTCACTCTCTTGCTTTGCAAATTGCAATGCAAGAAATGTGGCAAACCCGTAAGAAACGAAACACTGTAAGAATATATATTTATGCCATTGGAAAATCACTTGGGAATATGTGTGGCATCACCTATCGACAGTTGTACGTTGTAATTTTGATTTTTGCTATGCATACATGATTCGGAAATCTGGACAATTCGGTATATTCTTATGAAGGTTTGGTCATTATTTACGATAATATTGTGGCATTTTACCCAACCAATCCTTGAAGTTGTAAATGAGTTCACGCAAGCGTGTTTTAGAGCTGAACGGACATTTTGACTTTTATTACGGGATCAAATTACAAAATTTTGAAATCGTCCAACGTTATCAATACTTATTCAATTTTGAAAATTACAGGTGTCACCCAAATTCCAGATTTTCACAAACCACTATGTTTTTTCAATTTGTTTCCTCGGGACCGTGATTGTCAAAACTTTGTCCTTGCATATCTCCCAGGACAACCCAGTCCCATCCGGCATTTTAAATTTACGATTAAATGACTTAAGAGTGGATTCGTTTGGATGATTTTTCTTGTCATTTTTTCCAACCACAAATACATGTCCATCTTCACTCCGAATGGAAAGTTCGTCAGGTGTGTAATTCTCAACACTCATCTCCACCTTAAAGACAACCAGTTTATTAGTATACTTGAAATATTCAGTAAAACCTACAGTGCAGACTTCACATAGCCTGAGTCAGGTGTACGGAACCCCATGGGGTCCCTCCGTCTTAAGATTATTCCCAATTTATATTTCTTATTTAGATACTGTTAGCAATCACACCTACAGCAAGGTGTGATAAGCTCAGCTTAATTGAAAAATTTTGAAAAATCGTTATGGGGTATCCCATAGACTCCCCCCAGATAAAATTAATTACCTATGTACCAAAATTTCACTTTTATTTTTAACTTCCATGCCAAATTTCAGCTAAATTGGACGACATTGGAAAGTCGGTATGGGTCACCCTATGGGGTCCCTCCAGATAAAAATTTTCGCAATTTCACTTCATATTCTTTCATTAGACCCCATTGGCTACATTATATGTACCAAATTTCAGCTTTCTACTACTATTTTGAAATCTTGGAACAACCACACCACCCATATGGCCCCCACCGGCCAATCATTGGGCCGATTTGGCTCATCTACGAACCTGATTCCCAATTTTATCCACTATGCATATGGCGAAAATTTCAAGTCGATGGGTCAATGCGTTCTAAAGTTATTGCTGTGACGGACTGACGTACAGACATGACGGTAAGCCATAAGCCATGACTCGGGCTAAAAATTGAAAATTAAAAAAATTAGCTAACAAATACAATGAAACATTTCATTAAAAATAGAACATTGAAAGATTGAAAATACTACAGATTTTTCCATCCTGTCAATGAAAAATGTTCAACGGAATTTTTATACTAACAACTTCCACTATTTGAATTTTCCTTAAGATTCTTTTTTTTACTTTTCTTATTTTTGCAATATTATAATTTTCATAAAAATGTTCATCACTAAGGAAAAAATAACCCTGTTACAAACTCACCATGAACTTGTCTCTTGCATGCGTTACTTCGGCAAGTCCACTTAAAATTGCTGATGTTGACCGTCTCCTCTCCCTTGGAACAGGTCCTTGTGGGGTGAGATAATGGGAAGACGATGATGACATTCTTTCTATAAATTTGAAGAAAAATGAGAAATTGAATCACGTTGTTGTGAGCAGGAGTATTACTCCGGACTGAACAGATGGGGAATTTTTAATGACAGATAAGATGGAAATCGGTCTGACTCTGTGCTCATTTTAGCACAACAAAATCAGCCTGTGGTGTGCCAAGAGAGACAAGAGACCCGTGTTTTGAATATGATACAAGTAATAAAAAGTGTAACTTGAATATTTGCCTTTGACAAAAAAAATCCACCAACAAACAGAAACCAATCTAATAATAAGCAATCTCATGAGGCAAATTCCACCCAACCTTCCCAACGATATAATAAATAATGGGCATTTACTTCAGCATCTGCTTGTTGAATCATTTTGAGGTATTTTTAGCTTCATACCTTGTCCTGAGTAAGTTATGTCCTATCCTATATGCCAGGAACGTGGATAATATAAAAATGAAATGTTCCAATCTAATCTTGCTTAAAACTCCTACTCCGACCAAAATAGGAACTCGCAGCTGCAAAATTTTGAGTGTTTTCTTCCCAAGAAAACACAAAGTTGTTTTACGGCGTTGATGGAATAAATCAATTGGGATTACAACTTGTAATTTACAAGTAAAAATTACATGGACACCACACTGTCAGAAATGAATGGTGGGACACCTAACTTTACCAATTTTTTATACATTCGGATTTACAAGGATTTTTTTAAATGAAATTGTAACAAATCGGCAATATAGACATATTTATATGCAATCGGTTTTTTACGTGTATCTACACCTAATATTGAAAAAAATATTCAAAGATAAGTGTTAGTATTTTATGAAAAAAATTGAATCAAGATCGTCCCTTCTCTGACCAATATACGTATGTATTCATGAAAATGTATCGCATTGAAATAATATCAATTGCAAATTTCTCGTCCATATTATTTCTTCCTTTATCAGATTCTATTTTTCCGATAAATTTGTTCTGGTAGTTCAAGGCCAGAGTAGGAAATACTAGACGAGTTGTGGTGTTTGAATGTAAATCCGTGGATTTCAGACTCATTTCTGCATCCGACAAGACTACTGGGTAGCAATAATCAAAGCATTCTATGCATATACAATTGCTTAAAACATTATACTTAACACAATTTAATCATTATCCGTGACAATCATAGCCGCAAATCACACTAGTTTAGAGTGCTAACAAGCTGAACAAATATTCTCCTCAATGCAACATTTACCCGAGAACAAGAATAGAAAATATGTTCCTTTTGTGTGTTGCAAAATCATACAGGGCAAACGTAAGGTTAGGTTAGGTTCTTCAAGAATCTTTGTTGTTAAAATTAAAAACACCTCAAAGGGGTGGAAAATTGGAAAAACCAATGGTGAATATAAAATTGTAATTTAGTAATTTTTTAAATAAATAAATATATAACATTTTATTGAACAAATAAATCACACATGCATAGTTAAATACTATTCATACATACATAATCAGGATCATTGAGTCAATTAAGTAGGGAGGTAGAAAAAACTGTACTTTACTAATGCTCGATTGTAGGTTTGAGCTAGAATCGAAATATTTGTATTCTAATTCATGGAGGTAGAGAAATTGTACTCTAAATTTGTACTATACTAAATTCAAAAAAACTCCAGCGGGAATCAATTCGGTCATTTATTTGGCAACTTAAAGAAAATAAAGTATACGAATAAAGTTGGAGCCAAAAGTGACTTGAAAAATCTCACTTTGAAAAAGTGGCAAACCTAAATATTTAGTACAATCGAGTTCAGAGACGGGACTGGAAATCGCCGATTGTATTTTATTGTGAGGGGTGGTACAATACAATTCAAAGTCACAATATAGTACAAATGGCCAGAATACAGTTTTTTCTACCTCCCTAGTATCTACCCATCATTTCCAGATAGATAACCAAAATTGTATAACAATGTCATAAATTATTGATATAAAAAATGCAAATATTTATCCACGTGGATCAACTAGGTCGCATGTTCAGCAATTTTTAAATCGTTTTTCAATCCCGAATATACGTGTCAGTTGTTTCCCTATACGAGTACGAATCTAAAGCAATCTTAAGTAAGTAAAGCGATATATCGGTATTTGCATAATATAGAACAGATGGTTGGTCAGAATAAGAAAAAAAACTGTGCGTTAGGCAAACTCGTGCTTCAACTTGTTCCATCGATATAGTAGTTTTGGGTATGTAGATAGCAATTCACACCTCACAAATTAATTCTTTTCCGTCACAAAGAATTTCCTCCAACTGTTCAATTTCCGCTCATCAATGGGATGAGTCAGACCAGACTTCGTTTTAAATAACTACATACACTACATCTGTCCAATTAATCTGATTGTTTCCTCGCCTATAAAATAATGACCGCAGGGTTCTCCTAACACATACAAAACTAACTTCCGAATAGCTCACATCAACCAAAATATTCAATTTTACGATGAAAATTGCTATTGGCCTTATCCTCGTCGCTATGTCTTTGACAGCCAGCGATGCTCAGTTCTTCCTTCCGGCGTCGAATCCACTGTGGCAATTGCTAGGTCGCCCGACTGAATCGCCTATCGTGAGAAATCCTACGCTGGCCCGTCGCAGCAGCGAACTCAACAATGGTATGTAAATTAAAACAAAATTAATCAACTCCATTATGCGGTGTATGTAGACAGTAGGAGTAGCCACAAATCACAAAGGAATTATTAAATTCGTGGGCTTCAAACATTTTTTACTGAACGCAACATATTTATTTTTTGCCAAATAATGCTTATCAATTATTTTAATTAGTTAGGAATTGTATCGAAAGTTGCTTTATGTATATGTAAGTTAAGCAAAGTTAGAAAACCCCAAGTCTTGCTTCCTTAAAAAACCATCCCAAGGGTTTTTTTTGGCCTTTTGACTTTGTCACTACTACGTTGGGGCGGATTTAAAAAAAGTGTTATTAAAATTGTTTATTAAATTGAAACTAATGTAATATTTGGATTCTGAAGCAACTTTGAACATTGCTTGAACACAAACCCATGCAGTCAAAATTTATTTGTAACATAACTAATAGAAAACCAGCTTAAATATGTTCTTTGGAATTAAATACATACAAACATATCTAAATATATAGTCAAGTCATATTTATGAAAATGCTCAGAATTTTAATCCGAAAATACAATTTATATTTTGTTCTAACCTCATTAAAATACATAAATACCGTGCAGAACCATTAAAAAACACCAAAACCGTCATCTAAAAACGTGATGTGGTAAACTTTAGAAATTATAAAGATACTACTCTGCGATACAATTGCTATAATTTATTTCCCTAAAATTTTATCTCCTTTTTTCTAGCCTGTTGCGGAACAACGGCAGCTCCTCAATGGCGGAATCGGGTATTGAACTTTCCAGCTGAAAACATTTACTGTCGATGCAACCCGGCCTCTACCGGAAGTAACACGTACAGATGGCGCTGTGCAGCGATCCCTCCAACCACAACGCGAGGTAGAATTTTAACACAAAGATTGACCGAATTTTGTCATAGGGATATGGAATATGTTAATGAGGGGTGATCTAGTATTAATCTATTCGTTTTGGTAAACTTTGATAAAAAATCTAGGTAAGCCCATTACTACCATATTTCTGAACCATTTCAAGACTAAACAATAGATTTCGTGGAGACGGAAACTATTCAGTTTTCTAAACGTATCTATCACATTACATACATATCTTCTAGTTAATTCTTTAATCTATTTTTACAAACAACTTTTCATAGCTCCTACCACGGCTAGTCCTACCACTGCACCTCCGACAACTACAGTTGCGACTACGACCAGCGCCGTCCCAACCACGACCGTCATGTTCTTCCCATAAGTCAAAGAAACGGTACCATAAATGATCCTGAATCAACGTAGTCATTGTATTAGCTTCCTATGAAATTGTAACATTGGAGAAATTAATAAAATTATATTGGACTATTTGCAATATACTAAGGACTAAATTTTGTCTACGATATTCTTTTGTGAAAATATTGGATGATTTTGATTGATGGCATTTGAATACGATATCTCTACGATTTTTCCAAATTACTCATTATCATTTACTTTGTAACCATGGAAACATACTGAGAATAAATAATTGCTTAGTGCAAGGAGTAAGTGTATATATGAGCCACGCTGCCAATTCTGGCGGCTTGTTTAAGTACATCAAATTAGACAACATTGGAACATATGATCTGGCTGTTTAAACGTGCAATGCTGCTGTCTATTTTAATATTGACATTTTGATACATTTCTATAAGAGAAGGTTTATATTATTAAATCACAGACTCCGTGTCCCTTCTAGCTGCATCAGATCTTATGTCGTAGAAAATTAGGTAAAGCTATTTGGTAAATAGATATTTGGTATACCAAATATTTATTAGTAGAAGAATTGGTTATATCCAATTCTACAGCTACTAAATAGTTTGTTGTAACTTAGTTCCTTTAGTCTAAATTCTGTTGATGATTTTTCTGTAAGTGTAAGAACTGAACAGGAGAGCATTCATTGACGGGCAACAACATATCATTCTTCGGTGACGGCAACGCCGGAAAGCCGGGCCCCGCACAGAACGACAAAATGAATATGCTCAGGTGGGGCCCGGCGTAGCCGGAAGATTCCTTTCGTACCGAGCACCCAAAAGGTCCCACAACTCTAGCGCCCAAACCATGCAATTTAAGGAAGAATGACAAGAGACAAAATAGTTAGAGTATTCTGTGAGATGCGCCGCGTTAGTTTGAAATTTCAAAATTTTTTAGTCCTTCCATTAGAAATCGATTTTTGAAAGCTATTTTTCGATAATTTCGACGTAGGAATTAAACTTTCTTATTAGACATATGACTTTATTAAATTGCATAGGTAAAACCGAATTTTTTTTGTATAACGCATTTTTACGTACAAAGTCAATTTAATGACTTTGAGAGGATAATTAAGAAAATTACCAATTTGGGAGCTGTAAATAAGTAATCCAATTCGATCGTACTTCAAACGCAAGGCGTGCTGGTCTAGTGGTTAGTACGTGCTGACCGAACTCGAGCTGTCGCGGGTTCGAAGCCGACTGTAGCTAATGTTTTTGCACAAATTTTTTCACCAAAATGAATATCATTTTGGACGAAAATTTCATTGAGAATTCAATTCTGTAATTATTTTTGACCTCTGACCTTCCGCGGACCTTGTGGTCGAAGAGCAAAAATAGCTTAATCGCATGCGTGGTGTCATTCCGGAAGCAAATTTCACCCCGACTTCGATGGGATAATTATTTTTGACCTCTGACCTTCAGGCGACCTTGTAGCCCAGGTCAGAGGTCAAACAAGGAATTTGACCATATGGAGTACCTATCAAAACGTATTATCGAGTACGGTCGGTCTTGATGTGGGGTGAATTGCAACTGGGCAATTTGAGCTAATGGTAGATACTAACGAGAAAGTAATGGAGATATAGAAACGCGTGTGTTACGAACAATTTCATGCGGTTTCACCTCTTTCTTACGGTGGCAACTTATGTAATAATCCCTCGTCAGAAATCGCCACTAAGTGAGTACATGCGGTGTAGAGGTGTTTCAAATTTGGAAATCAGGTCATCTCATGTCCAATAATTTTCGCAAGCCCATCCTCATCAAAGAAATTATTGACCTTTAATCTCGTCAATTTTGGGAAGTAAGTACCTCCAAGAGAGGGGAAATCTAAGGAAATGTTAGATTCAAGACGCTCCAATTGAAGTTCTTCTAAAGTCTTGGACGCCGAGAGTATTAGTCTGATGCAGAATTCTCTATGGGAGTGAAATTCATTCCCGTGTGGATACTGGACATTAATTGTTTTGAAATTGTTGACGGGTCGAAATATAGAGAAATCGAGAGGACCTAGCTTGTACTTGAGGACGGATGGAATTTTGAGGAAGATATGAGTTGGACAGAAGTTGAGTTTTTCTACTATCGATGAAATATCTAAATATTCCTCATTCTCCTTAAGGTAAGAGGATATTTCAAGTGCAGTTATTGTCCTCATTTTTAGGACTGGGGTAGATCCATAATTCCAGGTCACAATGGAAGGCCCCAATGTTAGAAAACGGGCTTTATTCCCCGACGTCATTTTTTAATATATTTTTGCATATTTGGTGATTTGGTTGATCATTATGGATACTATAGAAAAATTGAGTAACCACACCTGTTGTTATAACTTGACCATTGTTAGGCCAAGTTATAACAAATATGAAATTATCAAAAGTGCATGCATGCAATTGGGCACGCAATGCCAAAATGCTCATATGAGAATCAGAGCTTCTGCAATGTTTGAGATTGACTAAACATGGGATTGTTTAAAGTGTAAGCATGTATGCAATGTCAAAATGTTCATATGAGAATGGGAGTTTTAGCGACACTTGAGTGAACGAGATCGTCTAAACATGGGATTGTTTTTAACTCTAGTTGTTATACAATGCCAAAATGTTCAGATGAATATGATCGTGCTTGTGACAACCCAGTGAACAGACTGGAAATACCGACCAGACGGTTAAAAAGTTAATTTATTAATTAATTAACTAATTCAAAACAGTTTAAATGAAAAATTGTTAGCAAGTTGGAAGTGATATATGTGAAGTGATGAACAATACCAAAAACGCGTTATTGTCCAGTCGAACCGAATCCCTTATCACCGCGCGGCTCGCGGGATAAGAACTCACTTCTTTGAACGCCGTGTTCTTCGTCTTTCTTAGTTCCTTCAACGTATCGCACTGGTCCGTGGTACATTGGGATTACTGCAAGCTGCCCGAGGCGTGACGCCGCTTTGTAAGCGAAGTTTTCGCTCGAGTTGTTGTGCAAGATAATCTTCATCGTCCCAGTATAATCATGGTCGATTATGCCACCTTAAATAAATTTTATAAATTTGTAATTATTCAATTTGTAACAGTAATGTAATAATGAACAACAAACCTGCTGTGGATATCATTGTTGCTGCGGCCAATCCTGACCTCCCCTTAATCAAACCAAAGTGGTTGAGGGGCAGTATAACTTGGATCCCCGTCTCCACCACACCAACACCGCCACCACTGATTTCTCCAGAGTTTTGAGAAAATAGGTCATATGCTGCTGATCCAGGCATAGCCTTCCTCGGAAACATTGCCCGTCTATGACGACGAACAAAGATAAGTCCGTCAACTGTGTAAGAAATTAATAGACAACAATTTTAGTTAATTAATGAAGTATTGGAATTTATTTATTTTCAGAATTGATCCGGTGCTAATTTGAAGGTAAGTATTGAGAGGATTTATGGAGCAATAACTAATAATCTAGTATTTGTAACCAAAATTTGAATTTTAAAACTTTTAGTGAGCTTAACATCAAATAAAGCTCTAAGCGTCCGGTTTTGCCGGGAGCCTGCTACCAACGTCGTTGCGCATTTCTTCTAACGCTTTTACTAATGACCAATAGTGGTCGACCAGAATATTTGCGCCCACATTTTGATTTTTGCGTAAAGATAAATATGTTTTTGAGTTGTTATGCCATGTTTGGAGTCGGAGGTAGTATTCGCCTCCTAAAAACCCCTCCCACCAAATTGAATTTTGCGAATCTTTCTTCTCTTCGTAGGACGAGAAGTTTTTCTTAATTGTACCTGGCTGTTCACCTGCTCCTCCGCCGCTGAAGTGAGGCTGGGGATCCTTCTTGGATGTCTTCCGCTTAGCGTCCTTCACGGCCGACTTGACTTGGTCCTCTTCGCAGGCTTCTTATCGTCGTCGCCTGAAAGTGAGCAATTAATTTAGTTAATGTTTTGCATTGAGTATTTGAAAATAATCGAATTATATAAAATATTAATCTACGTCTCGAATGTGTTAATATTTAAAATTAATAAATAAAAAAATATTACCAGCTTTTCGCTTAGTTCCAGATCCCGATCCCTGCCTAGGTCCTTCGTTAGACTTTTTCATGGGCTTCTTTTCCGCATCCTTAACTTCTTCTCGTCTACCTGTAAATAAGAGCGTAAACGTAATGTAAATTTACAAATTAAAAAATAAAATAAATGAGTAAAGTAAAACGATAAATCTTACGGTCGCTATCCTTATGTTTCTTCTCGGCTTCCTTTCTGCCCTTGTGGGTCGTCTTGTTCTTGGCGTCTCTTCTCGGGGATCGGTCCGATTCCGAGTCGTCCGACCAAATTGCTTTCTTGCTCCTAGGCCTTTTACCCTCATCGCTGCTGCCCGACGAACTGCGATGACTTGACCGTGAAGAACTACTATCGCTGGAACTGCGGCTCGTGCTGCGAGTGGCGCTGCGGCTTCTGCGATTATCGTTTTCTGAAATAGAAATTAAATTGTAGATTCAAATAATTTTTTCTGTTTTCTTTGCTTTTGAAGCAATTTGCTTAAGAATATGTCTGAATAAAATTTCTGAAAGAAAAAAAACTTACTTTTTGGCATGATGAAAAATTTTCTTCTTGTTCACAATTCAAAGTTAACTCCTCGAAATTATTTCTTTGACTAATACGACTAAATGGAGATCGTCGTCTTTTATATCGTGATTTAATCTCAAAATTGAACATGATGACGACAGTAAACAAGAATATAAAATAATACGATAACAAGTGAATACTTGCTTGTTAATGGAGTGATCTAATTAATTACTTTGTTGTGACTATGCGTATTATCTTCTTTGTTTGAGTTATTTTCTTTGTAACAAGAGGTATTTAGTAGATTGTTATTAAATTATTTTTTATTTATTTTTAATACTTCTTTCTGTGTACTTGATCTTTGACATTTTAGTCGTCATGATGTCACTTCAGTAGTATAAATATGAGAACCGAATTATTTTTAAATTCCATTTGGTATTTGATTATACACCCGATATCAACACGCCAAATTGTCACAAATAATTTAAGCTATCAACTCACAAAAGTATGATACACATACGTAAATTATGTCAGCTGATGACATAATTACTTAATTTAATTGAGATGATGATGATATAATAATTATAATAAACTTTCTTATTATTTAGACGCAAATCTCGGAATTTTGTCGTATTGTCGCTGCTGCTGCTGCTGCTGCTGCTGCTACTCGCGGCTGGTGATGCTCGAAGGAATGAAACAATCTATGTGAGTACGACCACCACATTTATCTATAATGACAATTTAATAATTAAATACTGTAGCAGACTGGAGAACGAGCGGATTCTTTTATAAGCGGAGGAATATATGCGTTTTCACTTCTCTCATATCAATGTGCGTCCTTGCGAATTTATGATTTATTCAATATTTAATCTTTCTTATCCTCATTTCGTGTCATAATTTTTATAGATGAATTCATGGAAATCTTCTACGAGATGCATCCCATGTGGACTTCAATTCGCCTCAGCAAGGCGGTTCGAAAAACACGTTGCGAATCACAGAAGGCCTTTTAGATTATATGTATGCAAGTTATGTAATTTAGAATTCACTCAACACAAAGCGTACGATATTCATATAAATTCACATAGATGTCCGCATTGCATGTATGAGGACAGCGATATTTTTGCTGTAAATAATCATATTTTGACGCACATAAAATCTTCTACGACGGCAGCAAGCAGTCGACAGACGGGATCGAGAAAGCGACAAAACGACGCATACCCTTTTAAAGAGATAGCTGCATTTAAGGGATATGTCAGAACATATCGACATAGAAATAACAAGAAAAATGCTCCGTATCGTACATTAATGGAATATTTTTCAGAAAACAAGCGTTGTATTTATGGCATTATTAAACAATGCTTAAATGACTACAAATCCGTAAAAATTCAAATAACCCTGACATGTAAATTTATTAGAGACACCCCGTTTTGCGACAAGAAGAAGAGGAATATTGTACACAATTTATAAATTCGAATATGAAAGTTGTATTGAACAAATTTTATCTGACTGACGTTTTAAACGAGATTGATACGAATTTTCAACACCAAATTGAAATATTCGAGAAATATGGTTCGGGATGGAACTTATGCGAAATTCTAGGAAGCGATATTCGGGTTGCCGAGTTCGAGATTTTGCGAGGTGGTTGCTTTGTATCGGTCCCTGAAGAGTTGGTTGGAAAGAAAGCAATTATCTAATAATTGGATTACACGGAGTTAAGTGGAAAAGTCGAAGAAAAAGTTTTGCTTTATTTTGTCAATATTTCGAATGCTATCTGCTATTCATTATCAAGATATTTACAAGATGGGAAATTTGTTACAAGATTTCGTAGTTGAAATTAGTTAGTGTAAATTCATAAAAATAGTTGTCATGTTTGTGGCGTTGGATACTGGGGTCACGTTTTGAAGTGATAAAAAGCAATTATCCATCCGCAAATGCAGGGAAACAAATGCTTTCAATGGGCTTTTCTGATTGGCATGCATATTAACGATATAAAGTCACTTCATAGAGCAAGGATCAGACAGTACGAAAAATTTGTAAATAATTATGATTGGAAATGCATTGAGTTTCCTACAACACAGCAGAATATCAAAACATTTGAAAGTCGAAACGCTGAGAAGATGTTCGCTGTAAATGTATTCGGGTTCGATGATCGAGGGAAGCTAAATATTAAATACCAAAGTATGCACATCCGAGATAAAAAACGGAAAATTGTTAACCTACTTTACGTTCAAACCTGTGCAAATAATCCAGGACATTTTATGTACATAAATGGAATTGAAAAACTTTACGGTTCTAAAAATCATCATAAGCGATTACTGTGTTATAATTGCCTTGCTCTATTTCCAAGTCAAGCTCGCTTAAATAAACACGAAGAACTTTGTTTTTGTTTCAAGAAGCAACGCGTTTGCATGCCAGATCCCTATGATTTACGCGAGGAGCCTGTTTGTCGATTTAAAAAGTTTGAAAATAAGTTAAAATCTAGGTTTGTCATTTATTCGGATTTTGAGGCTCTCTGTATGAAAGTAAAGCGAAGAAGAGGAAAAATACGGCAGTACGCTAAACATGTTCCGAGCGGTTATTGTTTTGTAGTTGTCTCAAACGATGAAGTGATTTATAAATCGTTATATCGTGGAAAGGATTGCATGGAAATATTCGTAAAAGAGCTTGATGAAATTTGCGATCAACTAAATAGTTTGAATTTAAACAAGGTGCCCATGAGAAATCTTACATTAGAAGAGCAAACATTGTATGAAGAGAGTAATATTTGTCACATTTGTGAAAATGTTCTCCAGGAGGATAAAGTAAGGGACCATTCACATGAAACTGGACGCTTTAGGGGGGCAGCGCATCGTCAATGTAATGCCAAATACCGTCAAAAAGATAGAATACCGGTTTTAATGCACAATTTTAGGAGCTATGATTCGCACTTACTGCTTAGTTACGTCAGAAAACTGTCTGCGAAAGAAGTGAAAGTGATTCCGTCTAATTCTGAAAAGTATATGGCGTTGCTCTGTGAGAATTACGTTTTTCTGGATTCGTTTCTCTTCCTCACAGCCTCGCTGGATACTCTGACGAATGACTTGTTGTTGGGAAATAATTTTGAGCAAGACTTCAAACCATTAATACAGATTTTCGGACAGGGTGCGGCTAAAGAGATGTCCAGAAAAGGAATTTATATGTATGAATATATGGATAAGTGGAAAAAGTTTGATCAAAAAAAGTTTCCCAAAAAATCCGACTTTTACAATTCATTGGCAAGTTCGGGCGTTTCAGATGTTGATTACAAGTACGGTAAACATATTTTCAAATCATATTGCTCGGATTTAGGGGATTATCATGATCTCTATTTAATGACCGATACTTTGTTGTTGGCTTGTGTTTTCGAGAAATTTCGTGAGGTTGCCTTGACACATTATAAACTAGATCCTGTTCACTATTATTCGCTAGCAGGGTATTCATGGGATGCTGCATTATTAAATACGAAACAGGTTTTAGATTTGTTTATCGATTCTGCCATGTATAATACTATAGAATTAGGACTCCGCGGTGGTGTTTCAATGATTTCGACGCGATATGCTTCGGCGAGGAATAAGTATATACGAAAAAGCGGAAAAATAAAAGATGGAGACAATTATCTTTTTTACATTGACAAGAACAATTTGTACGGGGAAGCTCTTCTTCAGCATTTGCCCACAGGAGATTTTGAATGGGAAGACGCAGAGTTCGTTCAGAATTTGACAACGGAAGAAATTGTAAAATGGGGCGATGAAGATAATATCGGGCGAATTTTAGTGGTGGACCTAGGGTACGGGTCGGCATTGCACCCCAAACATTCAGAGTACCCGCTTGCCCTCGAGAAAATTTGTGTAAACAGTAAGCTACTTTCTTCGTATCAGACAGACCTTATTTCGCATTATAATATGACTTATTCTGAGAAGCAACCTAAGCTCGTACCGCATTTGGGCCCTCGTAAAAGGTACGCTGTTCATTATAGGAATTTAAAATATTATTTAAAGAAAGGAATGACTTTAGAAAAAGTACACAGTGTAATTAAGTTCAGTCAATCTGCATGGTTGAAAAATTATGTCTTATTTAACGGTTCTTTGCGTCAACAAGCACGAACCATTTTTGAACAAAATCTGTTCAAATTTATTGTAAATAGCATTTTCGGGAAATCCGCAGAACAAGTACGAAATCGAGAAGATGTTAGAATTGTGAGTAACCTAGAGCAGATGAAGAAGTTGACTAGACATTCGAATTTCAAAAATTATCAAATTTTAAGTCCTGACCTCGTCATAACTTTTCTTGACCGCGCAGTGGTGAAATTAAATAAGCCGTTGTATATTGCCTTCACAGTACTCGACTTAAGTAAACTCTTTATGTATGAGTGGCACTATGATAAAATTGGCGAGTGGTTCGGGGAAAGAGCGAAATTCTTGTTTACAGATACTGATTCATTAGCATATTCAATAACCACTGAAGATTTGTACGAGGACTTGGCTGAGCACGCTGACGAGTTTGATTTTAGTAATTATGACCAATCACACTTTCTTTATTCGAACGTCAACAAGAAAGTTATAGGGAAGATGACAGATGAAGCAAAAGGAAATGTTCTAGAGAGTTTCGTAGGTGTTGCGCCGAAGATGTATTCCTTTCTTGGAAAAGGTATAAGAAAGAAAGCAATGAAAGGTGTCAAGAAACAAATAGTTGATAAGTACATTAATCATAAACGATTAAAATCAGTGCTATTCAAACAAAAGAAATTGGTATGCAGGATGAATCTGATTCGTTCACGGCATCACAAACTCTATTCTGGAAACTTTTCGAAAGTTGCACTCCATTGCTTTGATTCAAAGAGATACATTTTAGCTGATGGGATTAATACCATAGCCCATCATGATTGTCGCATCGTTGCGTAAACCGTTTACATCGGTTAGAATTTATGTTAAGTGTATATGTGAAATAATAAAATTAAGAGTTGTAAATTGCATGAAGTAAACGAAAATGGTTATATTTCATTTTAAATATATTAGTTTTATATTTGTACAAACATGTAAGTCGAGTCTATGCAATAAATATTTTCAAAAGAAATTTGATCCTTTTGCGACAAAGTGGACAATAATCTTGTGTACACACGCAGTCTAAACACATACTTAAATGGGCACAAGGCAGAACCACGAATCTCGCTTCAGATGCATCACAAATTTTGCAGATAGGATCAACCATTACGGTAGCCAGAATTGGAGTTCCAGCAGCTGCAGCTGAAAGGTAATCATTATAATATTTTGCATCGTCTGATTTTTTCTGTAGCGAAACTAACAAAATTTTTACCATTTTCAGAATGAGGTTCTTCAGAGGCGGTATCAACAGAAAAATTTTTCTATAGAAATAAAACAAAGCTTGTAATTCTAATATTACTAATACAAATTTGACTTGAAATTTTTTTTGATAAAATTACCTTCTGATTGGCTTTGGCTTTGTTAACCAATAAATATGTACACTTATTCGAAAAAAGAGCGTGTTCAATCCAAGGATTATCTTCTGGCAACCAATTGTGCGCGCCGACCCCACAGAAATAACAAATAACTTTATCTGATTCGCCGGAATAATAAAATCCACATTCGGCCAGCGTATGGGGTGTTTGCGCCTTATTGGTCGGCCATCCTTTGTACGATTGAAGCCGTTTTTGGAAAGTGCTCATGTCCTTATTAAACATGTTGAAAGGTTTATAAGTTAGGTGTTCCGAAACTTGTGCTTGCATTTTGATTTCGGCGTCGTTTTCTTTTAGCACCCGAATCTACATTACGCATCGGCGTAGGTCCATGTGTATCCCTCGATGAACGAGCTGAGTCTGAGTTAGAATTTAAGTTGTCTTTACTTGATATAGGTTTCCATTTTTTAAAGCCTCCCATCCTAGAAGCGCTATCGGTTTGATTAGAACGAATTCTGATTCCTTCCAGTGGACCCATTAAGTCTTGCTTAAAATCCTTGGACAACATTGTCGTTGGAACGTTTACCATCTTACAAACTGTTAACATACGATTAATACTTGCAGGATTATGACTACACTTCAATTCTCGTGTTACGTAATTTACCAAATCAATTATGTTGGTTTCCGGGGCAAATTCTGTTCCAAAAAAAGTTACCCTTCCATTTGTGTCCCATTTGATAAGATCGGGCCTTGATTTCAGCATGGTCATGAGAGGAATAAGCTTCGTAGCTTTGACGTTTGCGGGCTCATTTCTGAGTAAGATAATATCGTCCAAATTTAAAGGAGAACTTTGAGGAACTTCATTAAGTGTATCTGGATCCCACGCCGTCGCTGAACCTTTCGACGACGCGAAACTCTGGTTTAAGGTTGAGTTTGGTGACGATATAGCAGATGAAAAATGATCTAGGGATCTGGTTTGTCTAGGCTAAGTTTGACCTTTATAGGATCAGCTAGTATTTGATTCAATTGTTGCTTTACACTTTTCATGATGGAACCATAAAGTTGAATTTTTATGTCATCAGGGATTTCAGAATTATCAAGTACTTGATCGGCTCGACCACTTGCATCACGAAAGAAATGCTCTTTGACTTGAGATAGAGGGGTATGTCTCTTTAGCAAACGCTTGTATTCGTCCTCTTCAACCAGTCGCATTCTTTGTGCCATTTTATAACCCCAATTGTGAGCCAATGGCTCTACCTGCAATTGCACCTAATGCTGATAAAACTGGTGAAATCAGAAAAGGTAGAAAACCACCCTTTTGCAATAATAAGTGCTTTTTCTTCTTGTGTGATAAAGTTCGTTTTGACAATTTTCTTATTGAGTCTTTGTGCAATGATAACTTTTTTAATTTCTGTTCTGCTACCGGAAAATTTCCACATACAATATTCATAGCAATCTCTGTGAGAGCTCTAATTTGGTCGGGAGTTGCCGCTTCAATGAGTTTCTTCCTGGTCTGGTCGTTGGATTTGTGTAACGTCTTCAGAAAACCTTGATTCCTCTGTAAGCATTTGCTCATCCTGATGTTGCAGTTTTTCGAAATAAAACGAAATTACAGCCGCCTTGAAATGGCTACAATGGGGATTTGCTTTATGCCATTTGCCTAATCGTAACGGGCACTGTTGCTCTGTCATTTCTTGCAAGTCGTTATATTCACATCTTAGCTGATCCCATAATTGATTAATGTTATCATCCATAGTATTAATGTCAATAAGTTTGCAATTTAGTTTAAACAAGTTTCGTAAAACGTTAACTTTTGCCATTCCCTTAGTATATACAATATTATCTACGTCTCTATTCAAAAGTTCTTGTAAATAATCTCGTACGGTAATAAATTTGTCGTTTCCAGATGACCAATAAATTTTATGCAAACGATTTTCGCAATACCGTACAATTCTTCTATCGTTCATGTGCAATCTATCGAAACTATACGGTGACTTGACAAAAAAATGATTTTCGAGATCAGAGGCGACGATTGACAATTCTTTTATAATAAATGCACTGTGCAACTGAAAGCCCTCAATTTCAATAATATATTTCATTTTGGTAGATAAACAAATTTATCCGTTTCACCTAAAATACCTTGTATTACTCTGTACTGATCGTCACAACGTGGGTGCAAATTTAACACTAAATAGGAGTAAGGATTTTTTGTAGCCTTTTTATAAGCGTCGGGAAGGAAGCGTGATTTGTTCGGGAAAACTTGTCTGCTTAAGTAATTAATTTGTGAAGCAAACGTAGGCGACTTCATAATTACTGTGTAATGGGTATTTAATCTCATGGTTTTACCGTGTTTACCTTGCGGGAATAAATTTTGGGTTAAAATTATTACAGAGACTGATTTGTGATGTGACCCCTTTGTAAGTAGTTGATGAATTTTTTCGCTTTGAACAGCGTCATTCATTTGATCGTCAATTACAATAATATTATTGATATCCGGATTAAATTCCTCCAGATCGAATTCCAAGCCTTTGATTAGTTCGACATGAGGTAATTTTGACACTAATTCTCTATACGCTTCTTGTTCCTCTGTGAAGCATATTACAACCCTATCTGGTGCTGGAGTGACAATCTTATTTGAATTTAGCAACAAGGATTTTAAAAATTGTGTCTTGCCTGATTGCGTAATTCCCGAAATACTCATAGAAAAAGGATGTAACAACTGAAATGTATTACCGTGGTCAATTTCCATTGTTATGCTTAAAGGATCTTTTTCTGAAATGAACTGTCACGACTGAGATTCCTTTGGTGAAATGGATTTCTTCTCCATATTCATTGCATAGCAATATTTCGATGGTGTCGAATTCCAACTTACTGATTGGTAAATAATATGGACGAAACGTTTGCGTTACGGTTTGACCTTCACGACCTGTGATATCCACGATTCGTAATAGAGGAACTAGACTGTCACCAACAATTTGAGGTTGTACAAAATCACAATAGACGAACATATGGTACATACTCCCGAAACAATCAGGTGGATTTGTAGCAGTATTTTTTCCAGTAAATTTTATAATATCGGGAAAACCCAGACAATTTGACAATAAGGACGATAGTTGAATTTCACTGTGTTCAGCGTTTACCGATACACGATTTACCTCAGAATCGTAGTTGAAAGTGGTAATCTGCTTCCCGCTTTCGACTTGAAGTGCTTTATTTAATTCTGTACATAATGTAACTATGGATGAATAATTTAGATTCGGTAATACATAGGTACCTCGCCAGTGCGGTTCTAAAACCCCAGTAAAAATTTCACGCTCGCTAACAAGGGTACGAAAACGAATTAGTCTATCGCTATCTCGCAAAAACGTTTTCATTGAGTGCTTATATGTTAATTCCGTTAGAGCAACTTCGTATTCGTCAGGTAAAAATTGAAAACGTTTCGGTAATTTTACCTTGAAGGAAGAAATTCTGTTATCTGGAAAGTAAAGAGGGCTAACGTTTGAGGGTAGGAATAAATAGAAGGACATTTTGTCGAGAGTTCAGAGTTCCATAAAACTTTAAACTATTAATGAAGACATTTGAGGATATGTCCTCATATTTATATCGTTGCTCGTAGCTTACAGATATATTGTGTCGAATCGTCGCTTATGAAAAGATCATAATTGTAGTGTACTAACTAAGGCGCAAAATGAAACGTCTGCACATATTTGATCATTCCGAATATCATAAGGCTCTACACGAACAAATTGGAAATGGAATCCCGGTATTTAACGGCTATCGACAGAAGGGTGGTGGTTTAGGAGGTATATTAGGATATATAGGTCGATATGCGCTGCCTCTTTTAAATAAATATATTCTTCCGCATGCTAAAAATGCTCTTATTAACACTATTTCTGATGTGACGAGCGGTGTACCTCTAAAGAGCTCAATTAAATCAAACGCAACGAGTTTGTTAAATAACGTTGGTAATCATATAGCTGGTCGTCAAGCGGGAGGCAACATGGTAAGAACAAAGCGAGTAAAATCTAGTTCCATAAGTTCATTACCGCTTAGGTCGCCGGCAAAGAAACATTGCTCGGTTGTTAGATCGAAACAAACCAAGGGTTATAATAAGAAAAGAAATAAAAAAATCAAGAAAATATCTAAAACTAAGACATCAAATAGAGCCAAGCCAAGAAGCAGAAGTGATATTTTTGGATAATGGCGATGATTAATAAATATTCAAGTCCATCAATTCGCGGGCAAGCCGATCTTTTCAGTTTGCCTGCGACCGATACCACCTTCGAATCGAGCTTTTTCGCCGAATATAAACCAGTGGTTAATATTCAGGATAGCGACGCTAAGATAGAATTCAGAATTGTAGGAAATTCTTCACAGTACTTAGATTTATTCGATCATTTTTGCTATTTCCGTGTAAAAATAATCTGCGGGGACGGAAAAGATCTACCTGCCGATGCTGACGTTAGTACAGCAAATTTGTTCATGCATTCACTCTTTACGAATTGTGATGTTAGTATCAATCAACAATTGGTGTCTACGAGTAATAATTGTTACATGTACAAGGCATATATGGAAACTCTATTGACGTTTGGAAGGGACTACTTTAATTCTCAGGGAACTTGTCCCCTATTTATCTTAGATACCGAGGAAGGAAAACTGGATAAAGCAAACACTGGATATGAGGGAAGAAAAAAATATATCGCATCCTCGAGCCCTCTCGAGCTAATTGATAAATTAAAATTTGATTTGTCCTATCAACAACGTTATATATTAAATGACACCACTGTAAACATTAGCTTAACACGGGCCACAGAACTGTTCTCATTACTTTACCCAGGACCAAAAAGTGGGGATCCTGATCTGAACCCAAAGATAAAATTTTTGGATGCAAGTTTATTTGTGAGAAAACATGTCCTTTATCCTAGTATCGTCCTCTCTCATCAAAAACTCTTAGATAGTGGCCACAGTGCCAGATATCCTTTTAAAAAATCTGATGTAAAATTCTTTTCAATTCCGAAATCGAGTCAATCCTTCATTGAGGAAAATGTTTTCATGAGCACTGTTCCGTCCAGAATTATATTGTGTCTCGTCCCTAGTTCGGGTTTTATTGGCGATTATAAAATTAATCCTTTTGTGTTTAAGAATTATAAAATTAATTTTATTTCCTTGTCGGTAAATAATGTACCAATCCCAATTAGAGGTTTAAATCTCGATTTCGATAATAATGCGTATTTACTACCGTATGATATGCTATTTTGTTCGCTTGGAATTGCCGGACAAGATCAAGGATTAACATTTGACCGGAAGAAGTTTGCTGAAATGTTTACATTTTTTGCTTTCGAGATAAACCATAGTGCGGATTCGACGTTACATTTAGAAAAAACTGGGTCAGTACGAGTAGAAATAAAATTCGCCTCAGCAGTTCCAGAAGCAGTTAATTGCTTAGTATACTCTGAGCATCAACGTGTTCTCGAAATAGATAAGTTTCGACAAATCAGCGTCCAGTAATGGATTCATATCAACTAAGATATGCCCTGCTTTGTTCCATCGAGGGTTTTACGGCTGTGTGTGCAATAGATCAGTTAAAATTAATCAAAGAAGACTCTTTCTCAGTTATCTGTAATAATCAAACATCCACCGAACCTGGAATGCACTGGGTTTGCTTCAGGAAAAGTAAGGGTACCGACCTTGTTGAATATTTCGATAGCTTTGCATTGCCAATAAATATGTACCCCAAACGTATGTTGTCGTTCTGTCGTGAGCATGGTAAAAGTATAAAGTATTCTCAAATCCAATATCAGTCGAATTTTAGCGATGCATGTGGTGATTATTGCTTAAATTTCTTAATTAAAAGATCTATGGCATACAGCTACGAAGATATCGTACATGAATTTTCAGAAACACAACTCACCAGTAATGATAACCTTGTAAAGCAATTTGTGGCGATAAACTTTAAATTCCCTTCATTTTCTAATTGTGAGCAAGTTTGTCAGAAAGAGTGCATGAAACGTGGGATTGACTTAAACGGTGTGTGTACCCAAACCAGTAAACATTGCACGAAAATATTTAGTAGGCTAAAAGTTCACTAACAATGTCTTTCGAAAAGTTAAATGAAATTTATTTCGATCCTGCGAACCCCGGAAGTTTCGGTGGTCCGGAACGACTCTCTAAAGTTGCTCATATTTCATTGCAGAAGGCGAAAGAGTTTTTGCAAGGCCACCAAACATATACAAGGAATAAGTACGTTCGTCACAAATTTCCAAGACGCAAGATTGTTGTACCGTCAATTGACTATTTATGGCAAGGTGATTTGATTACTGTTACGAAATTTAGCAGAAAAAATAAAGGTATAAAATTCTTACTAACCGTAATCGACGTATTAAGCCGTTATGCATTTGTTAGACCGTTGTCAAATAAAACCTGCTCCGTCGTAGCAAAAGCATTTCAAGATATTTTAGACACCAGTGGTCGTAAATGTAAATATCTTCAAACGGACCGAGGTCTTGAGTTTAGAGGTGCAGCCTTTCTCAAAATATTAGATATGAATAAAATAAACTTGTTTCATAATCATTACGAACTCAAAGCTGCCATGATAGAAAGATTTAATAGAACACTAATGCTTCGTCTGAATAAGTTTTTCACATTTACAAATGATACGAAATACATAGACGATTTACAAGACTTTGTACAATCCTATAATTCTTCAGTGCATAGGTCCATAAACTGTCGACCAAAAGATGTAAAGCCTTCCAATCAATTTAATGTTTGGATGAAGAGTTACGAGGATTTGCAGAAGTCAAAGCCGTCTACTCCTAAATTTCGAATCGGACAGTATGTTAGAATTAAGATTCAAACAGCAACATTCGAGAAAGGTTACGCTTCGACGTTCACCACTGACTTGTTCAAAATTCGAGAAATCGTAAACAGCATACCTGTGACATATAAGTTAAGTGATAATACAGGGGAAATAATTTTAGGTGTATTTTATCCTGAGGAATTATCTCTCGTAAAAATTTGAAATTAGTTCCCGAAAAAGTTTCTCGGAAACCTCTGAATTATGAGGCTTATAATTTTTTTTTTTTAAATTAGCATTTCCGAACCGGTTTTGAAAATGAAATAAGCAGCAATAAATAAACATAAAATACATAAAAAAAATATCCGAGTATTATCCGCATTTGTTCGCTGAGTTCGAACCTATTCACAAGTCTATAAGATGGAAAACAATCTGAAGGACTTAGCCTCAGACGACGAAAAAATTACATCTGAACAAGTGCCTGAAGATGCGCCTGTTTCTGCAAATGAGCCACCCAAGCGTGGTAAGCCCGATCTGGATGGGAAAGCCGGTTCTTCGAGTAAACCGTCGACTGCTCAGAAACTCAAAAAGTTCATCTGTAAAAGAAGGAAAATCGAAAAATCTTCACAAGCACCGTTAGCATCAGGTACTCATGTTTTTCATAGGAAGAATTTTTCCGAATCATTGCTTAGCTAAGGATCGTATATTCATATGTAGGTGTTGAATTTTCATCGTCTGGAACATCTTCATCGTCGGCATCATCATCCGACAACGAAGGGGCTCATGGAACAGACCTTACCGCAGTTTGTGGTATGAGCAAAATTATGCCAAAGCCATTTTTCAAGCCAAGGTTGAGCGCTAGAATTGATGATCACTCGATTGAGTGGTACACCTTAGGCAATGAGATCGTTTTAGACATTAAGCTTTGCGGTTACAGATGTACAGAATACTATAATAATCATGTGAGATTCCGAGGGCACTATTTACATGAATTACTTAATTTTTTGAACGAAATACCGAATATTTATAGAACCCAACTTCCTACACAAACTGCTCCGCTCAAATATTAAAAACTTTGTAAAGGCTTACAATAATTAGTTAATATTTGTAAATGCAGATCTTATGGACCACCTTTTTCCAGATCATTTGCTAAATGGTTGTATCGTGTTTAATAAGGGGTTCGGAGGAAAGTCTTATTTGCAATGTACGACAATCGGTGAAGAAATTACCATCACCATTGGCGGAAATTCGCTTTTTGAGTTCATTTCAATGAACAGAAGTCAGTTTGGCGAGTTTTTGAAAGTGTTGAATGAAATGAAAATCGAGTGTCACAATCTCTTCGATTTGGACGGACCTTTAGACTTAACTACTAGACAATAGGATTTTAGTTAAATATGAATAAAATGTTTCCTGCACACACAAAAATTGTTCAATCTTATTTATTTCTAGGTGATAACGACGGGAAACCTGACGGTATCACTAACGCTCAAAAGGTCTTTTTCGCAGTATTCGGAATTTCACCTACACCAAAACCTGCCGGCACTAATCAAATCGGTTGGCCCGATAGAGGATTCGAACTTAGTGACCAGGGTGCATTTGTGAGGAAAGACTATTTTGTAATGTGCACACTGAAATATTGGTATACCGAAATCCCGAAAATTTTGAAAAGGAACTTTAAGATCATAAAGAAATGCAATTATGAGAAACAAGCTATCATACAAGCCAAAAACAATGTTCATATTCCCACATTTGATTTTACCGGCGTATTAATGGTTTCTAAGCATTACATGGATTAATAAAAACACGAAATTGTTTAAAAAACAGAGGAACAAAATGTCTGCACCGTGTTTTTATTCGAGCGCATATATTGACATCGCATCGTAATTTATAGAAATAAAACAATATGAATTTGGCCACCCGTGGCCCATTTTCCCAGCGGCCCGCAAGGGCCGCTGGGAAAATGGACCAGGGGTGGCCAAATTCACAGCAGCACACACCCCCTGGGGGTAGTTGACTCCTCCCCCAGGGGTTGTGGTTTTGAAAATTATTGCATTCGGTAGATCTTTGGAATCTGATCAAAATTGATCTGATGAGATTTCTTCGTAGGATGCACCAAAACCAAGTTATAGGCGTTCGAACATACTCGACGCGTTTTGCGTCGAGTTTGCGACGTTGTGGCGCGGAGCACGACCTCATTCAGGGGTCCAGAAATATCCCAAACGACGCTAAACATATAGGAGTATAATATTAAAAAGGAAATTTTATGAATACACGCGCGGTTTGTTTGCAGGAATTTTTTGAAAATTGTTAAAAATATAGCCGAAATAGCCTAAATTTGCACACTAAAAAATATAATTATGAATGACTTCAAAATTGGAAATGCGTGAGTTCAATACTTATATTACATTAACGAATTTTTTTATAAAATTTTGGTAAACCTCAATAAAGTGGTTTTAACGTAAAAATGCAATATAAATATTGATCCATATATATATTCATAATTATATTTTTTAGTGTGCAAATTTAGGCTATTTCGGCTATATTTTTAACAATTTTCAAAAAATTCCTGCAAACAAACCGCGCGTGTATTCATAAAATTTCATTTTTAATATTATACTCCTATATGTTTAGCGTCGTTTGAGATATTTCCGGACCCCTGAATGAGGCCGCGCTCTGTGCCACAGGGTCGCAAAGTCGGCACAAAACGCAATATTTTGATGTTCGAACGCCTATAACTTGGTTTTGGTGCATCCTACGAAGAAATCTCATCAAATCAATTTTGATCAGCTTCCAAAGATCTACCGAATGCAGTAGTTTTCAAAACCACACCCCCTGGGGGAGGAGTCAACTCCCCCCAGGGGGTGTGATTACTCAATTTTTTTATAGTATCCATAATGATCAACCAAATCACCAAATATGCAAAAATATCTTAAAAAATGACATCGGGGAATAAAGCCCGTTTTCTAACATTGGGGCCTTCTATTGTGCAGGTGGTGGAGACAAGTAGGCAATTTTTTATATCCTTGATGCTCAGATATCTGCACGTGTGAGTAATTACCTGTACATAAATATCCACCAGAAAACTTTGTGAATAGAAATTAATTTATAAAATGTATTCATGGACTATACAAATTTACATCGTGATTAAGAAATGTTTCCATCTGTGTGGTAAGTACTTCTTCCTGATGAGACATAATGGTATTGAATCCTACCTTCAAGAAAATATTGTACAAAAATATGTACATAACTTAACGTACTATTGTATCACGTGCAACTTTTCCTTTCGCGCCTTGTCTCATTCTGCCCCTTCAAAAATATATGTCATGCTTCCTTATGGAGAATTTCAAATTGAATCAACTCCGGCAGGTGCGACGAAAAAAAGTGCATTATTTTTTGTGCAATTTTTTGATTTCCCAAGTCAATAAGTGTGCAAATCATCCCATATGCCCCGGGTTTATAAACAAAAAAATTAGGGACTGATTACAATCAAAAACGTAAAATTTCATCCATAATTGCCGGAGTTGATTCAATTTGAAATTCTCCATAAGGAAGCATGACACATATTTTTGAAGGGGCAGAATGAGACGAGACGCGAAACAGTCCTACAATTGCCCCTTAATTTTTTTTAAGATACGAGATTTTTATTCTTGTTTACTAACCTGATCGGCTGATAGAAATAAAATGTATGTATAAATATGAAACTAGGGATTTATGGATTTAATTGTAATATTATTGCGAGTTAAAATTGTAACGACTGATTAGTCCGTTTTATTTATTGTTTTTTGTTTACTTTTAACCAGCCTGTGGAAGTGGATGGTGCCCTCCCGCTACATTATGGCGCAAGAGCCTTTGTCTCCTTTGTCTGTCTTTGTTTGGGTAGATATTGCATCTTCTGCATAAGTTTTTCATGCAGAAGAAACTTGACTTGGTTATGTATCCCAATAAACGTTTACGAAATGTTATGTATGTATGTACTTTACTGGAGTGGGATATACCCAGCAGCGGAGACACCGAGGTAACCTATTACGAAATGTTACGTTTTTGAAAAATTTTGCAGGGATACATGACCTTTTAAAAGTATGTTGTGTATGTGTATAATATATTGTAATGAAAATGGGTGTATGTATATGTACGCTACTAAGTTTTAACCTACATAATTTATTATTCAATGAATATCGTTAAAAATAGAAATAAGTATATTGCCAAATATTTACACTTAATCAAGACAACTGCTTACATCAACCAAAACATGATAAAATTAAAATGTATATACGTATGCAATACAAAAGGTTTTTTATTTTGATTTCAATTACCTTCACTTTCTTTGCAAGATGTATCATTAATTGCTTTACTTGCTAGTGCAACCCTGAGATATAATTTATATCGTCGTTCTAATTCTAAATAGTCCCATGTTATGTAATAGTTATGCATCTCAGTTAAGGTAGTAGGTGAGATGAGACGATCTCGTCATCTCAGTGAGATGAGATGAGACGAGATGACCAATAAATGAGATGCAAACTCATCTGAGACAGCTCAGATTTGGTGAGATGAGACAGGGTCATGATGAGATGAGATGAGACCATCTCATTTAAAAAATATTTTCCCCTGCAATTCAAAATTGGATTCAATTTTCTATATTTTGCACTCACCAAATTCTTGTTGGGATGATAAAAAGTGACTACCTTAGCGACTTGTGAGTGTGACTAAATTTTCATTTCCCAAATGAGCTGACATTTAAGATAAGTATGCTTTGTGGCATATCATGATGAGTCTTAAGCAACAATTCATTACACATTTAATTTAAAATTGAATTTGCAAAATCTTGGCTAGGTTCATTTCCAACCGAATGGAACTGTTACTCCAGTTTCACTAAATGCTACTAAGGGTTACAAACAATATGTAAACAAACCCAAGTTGAAGAAACCATTATGTTTTTATTGATCAAGTACATACATACGAGGGTGTTTCAGTATTGTTTTAGAAAAATGGGTTTACGCTAAGTTACAGATCAAACTTTTTCCATAATAACAAACCTCAAACACATTTAGGAAGCTGTGATTTTTTTCAGCTTTCTATGTTAACAATAACGATTGCAATAGCAATCAAAATTTTCCTCGAAAATATTCAAAAATTAATGATTTGGTTTCGTTGTCTTCCAAAAAATGTTTCCCCCGGATGACTGATTTTCATTTAAGATTTCATTTTAAGATTTGATGTTGCGAATCGACGTGCAAAAAATGCACTAACTCTTTTTTATGGCCTTAAGATTCTCCCTCCCCATAGCATGGAGAAACTCCAAACCTTCTGCACAGAGTAGACAATATAGTGTAGTATTTTTCGCAAAAACTTTTACAAGGCTGGAACCTTTGGAAATTTAGAAAGTGAGGAGAATCATACCTTAGTCAGATTTATGTGTTTTTGGCCATTTTTTGTGGGTGGGGTGCAACAGATGAAGTTGCATGAATTTTTGTTTGGTTTCACGGTCACAATACAATACTCTGGTATTGTTTCCTCCTACTAAGGTATGAATTCGGGTCTAATTTTTATTTTAAATCTAAACATTTTCAATGCAAAGTTCAACTGGTTCCTGTTTCAAAGATGGTGAAAGTAATTTTGGTACTAAATGGGCGTATATCATTTTCATGCCCAGGTCATCAGTAAAGCTAAGTATGCTCGACAGTGAAAACGTCCAGTGAAATGGGTCTGGTGAAATTCCACGACATTTTAAGTTTTCTGGTATGCAGGTGGTGAGTGAAAAGGCCGTGAAATTTCACTGGCCATTTCACTGAGTGAAAAAACAGTTCTTTTCCACTCTCCGCTGCAGTGAAAATGTACCAGTTGTTGGTGGAAAAGTTGGGTGAAATAATTATAGATTTTGTAACTTTTCACCCCAAATTTTGACTTTCGCTTTATTCAAAGTGCTTCTTCAAATTTTGAGCTTAAGAATTATTAATATCATTTTAAGAAAATTACCCAGTGCTAATTAAAACAATAGAATGGGGAGAAAGCGTAAAATTAATACTACGGGGGTGTCAGGCTTAAGTGACTTACAGAAAAAGCAGTTAGCTGCTCTGGTTGAGCAAAACGAAGCGATTTGGAAAGTTAATCACAAAGATTACCGGCGGTCGATTAGTGTGAAGTTGGCCTCTCCTTTTTTTTTTGTTTGCATGAAGTCAGCCGACTAAGCCGAATTTATCCGAAAACTTGGCCTTACCGCCCATAAATCCCGCCAATTTGGGGCAACGTGAGATTCGCTCCCCACAGCTCCAGAACTGTTGAAATTCAAACTTGTTGCCTTCCCGCCCCATTTTAAGGGGTAATTTGAGATTCGGTCTCATTTGGCTATTATCGAGCCAATTAAGTGTTATGAACACGTAATCAATACTTTCTCGGTTCTAGAACACGATATTCAACTAGTGAAGCCAGGACGAAACCACAGCTCAATATGCACATACGCACGTGCATATACAAATGTAATTATTACTATTATTTCAACTTTGCCTAGTATTTACATACACACTACTTTTGTCATACAAGAACTGCACTCACACCAATACTAAAGCAACAAGCAAGCTGCCAGTTTATGAAAAAATTAAACTAAATTTTTGATTTAATCAACGTAGCAACCCTATGGTTTAAGCATACAAAATCGAATGAAATACTCAATTTTTAACGAAAACACATGACTTGTATCATAAGAAAACCGTATTTCGGATTTTGATTGCACGAAAACGGGAAAGGGTTTTGGGCTCGGAATATTCTTATTTCGTAGCCATGACCCTGTGCTACCCAACGTATACTGCGGTTACTCATGCACCACTCAGATAAGAACGAAAAAATTCGGGTAAACCCCGACTTTTCCATAAGTTGCAAAAACAAGAAACCCAAATTTCGGATTTTAATTGCTCGAAAACGGGCAAGGGTTTTGGGCTCGGAATACCCTTATTTTGTAGCCATGACCCTGTGCTACCCAACGTATACTGCGGTTACTCATGCACCACTCAAATAAGAACGAAAATTTCGGGTAAACTCCGACTTTTCAATTTTTACCATACGAAACCCGAATTTCGGATTTTAATTGCTCGAAAACGGGAAAGGGTTTTTAGCTCGGAATACCCTAATTTTGTAGGCTTGACCCTGTGCTACCCAACGTATACTGCGGTTACTCATGCACCACTCAGATAAGAACGAAAAAATTCGGGTAAACCCCGACTTTTCCATAAGTTGCAAAAACAAGAAACCCAAATTTCGGATTTTAATTGCTCGAAAACGGGCAAGGGTTTTGGGCTCGGAATACCCTTATTTTGTAGCCATGACCCTGTGCTACCCAACGTATACTGCGGTTACTCATGCACCTCTCAGATAAGGAGAGGGTAAGATGCGATAAGATATCTCCTCACAAATTACTATATGCTCCATTAATGAATAATAATTGTGTAACAAAAAATATTATTATTATTTTGCGGGATTATTTTGCGTACTGACAAAGAAAGGTAAAACCCTGGAGTTTTTTGCCTAAGCGTTGATTAGATAAATACGTACATAGATAATTTCAATACAACGAATACGTCAACGCACTCCAGTAAATTATCCCAGTGATATATGGATTTGCCATAACTGATCGATGATGACAAGTTCCAATTCACCTTACCACTAATTACCGGATTAAAATAGTTACATAATCACAATATTACTTAATTGTACACGGCACAATCCTGGAAACGCGTATATGAACAAATACTCTAATTTTAATATTGGGTTATTTTCCCTGAACTGATCCCTTATCTACATTTGTTAAATTAGAAAATCCGCAATATGATCCTGCCAAATCCCACATCGAGATTAACCCAGTTTCAAGTGGAGAGGCTCATCAGCTTTTTAGTTCCAGTCAAGGCTTATGGAACAGTCATATCTGAATCTGTCTGTCTGTGTTCGGGCGATGACTTTAGAACGCATTGACCGATCGACTTGAAATTTTTACGACATGCATATTGGACAAAGTTAGGAATCAGGTTCGAAGATGAGCGAAAATCGGTCCACTGTTTGGCCGGTAGGTTGTTGGGGTCAAATACATTAAAATTTCAAAATAGTCATAAAGAGCTGAAATTTGGTAAATAGGTTGCTAATTGGTCGTAATGAATAAATATGAAGTAAAATTGGAAAACAAATTAATCTGAACGGACCTTATGGGGTGACCCATACCGATTTTGGACATCGTTCGATCAAGCTAAAATTTGGCATACAGGTTATTAATAGTATCTAGTGAAAGTATATGAATTGAAATTCTAAAAAAATCATCGGGTCCTCTATGGTCAACCACACTTTTGAATAACCACTCCCCACACCGTGAGTGAGCTTAGTCTGGTTTGGTGGGTATTGCAAGGTCCAAGGGTGACTTCTACCTTGCCAGGAAGCAGTGCCAATAATATGTGCGACAACTAGTGATCTCTGATCAAGTAGCACCAATTTATTGAACACAATTAACTCTCGAATATTGGACACTAACTCCAGTGATCCGCACTGGCTCGGGTCCTGACAAGAAATCCACACATAATAATTTATTCTCCTTCTTTACTGTGATTTTCTGCCAATGTCACCTCCACGTCACCATAGGTGGTCTCTCACACACAAACCGGGACAGAAATCATTACGGGGCAAATTAATGCAAAAATGAGAATAAAACTGCATGAATTACGCAAAACACACCGATTTTGAGATTTTGGATTTTAAGTCCTTTCGAACATTTTAAAACCAACTCAGCGAACCCAGCTAACAAATGCTCATTTATTACAATGAAACTGTGCTAAATTTGCATGGTGGTGGTGCTATGCAATAATATTATGACATACTAAGCCTGACTCGGGCTATATGAAGTCTACACAGTACGTTTTACATATATAAACAAATTAGCGTTACAAATCGTTTAAAATGATTATCAACTTGTTTTAATTTTCGACGAAAATTTCACTTTGAAATTAATCCTAAATTTAGGTAGAATTTACCATCATGGATTAATATTAAGTGGAACTGAGCCATCAATCAAAACCCAAGCAGCAGAAGCTTATGGCATTGGGAAATCCATGGATAGCTTTCTCCGTATAAAAGGACGACAAATCTGGACCAGAAAACAGTCATTTTACAGACAACCAACTCAGCTTAAATATATTACCGTTTTCCCGACTACATCATGCAACTAGGTACAAAATTTAAATTAAGTTTAAATTTTCGCCCAAGCTTAAATTTCCTAAAATATACATTTATTTTCCACCTTTTAGGAAATATTGCTTTGACGTTGTGGCTGCTTTGTGGCGTTACACGGGTCCAACTTGCCATTGGATCTGATAACATAACAAGGTAGTTATTAGCCGATTACTTAACCTGCCACACCACAGAAATAAAAACTAGGATTAAAAAATTCACAAAATTTGCAAAATTTTTGACTTATTTACTTTTTCTCCTTTAGTCTAACCCCTGATGAGATTGGAATCCTTAGATCGTATATGGAGGTGCGGATTGATACTACCTGGTCGACCTCCCTTCATCCCAACGTACCCCAAATGTGCGTAAATTGCTGGTCAGGCAGTCACGATAGAGACAGGAGTGGGTGCTACAACGGTAACTCTGGGACGCATTATTTGCGGTGGGATTTCAATGCAGGAGCGACGACTAAATTTTGGTGTGAAGCACGATGGGGTACGACAGCTTATATATCTACGTTTCCCGTTTTTGGAGATGGCGTTCCTAAAAAGAGCTCCACATGGAGGGTCAACTACCTTGAGAAAATAAGACTATTCGAAGACGGCAAAGTAAAAAACGACTACAGAGGTTCATGGCTAGGTAACGCATTCTTCAAGTCGAGATAAATTTTAATGAATGGAAGTTCATTAACTGGGTAAATTATAATCCGAATGGGCTTTTCCTTATCTTCATCTTATAGGCACGAAACCAAGACCTCCAGTAACTACTACCACCGCTAGGCCAACCACTACTAGAACAACCACCAGGCCCACGACAACTACAAGACCAACCACGACAACTACCAGGCGCACCACGACAACTACAAGACCAACCACGACAACTACAAGACCAACCACGACAACTACCAGGCCCACCACGACAACTACAAGACCAACCACGACAACTACCAGGCCCACCACGACAACTACAAGACCAACCACGACAACTACAAGACCAACCACGACAACTACCAGGCTCACCACGACCACTACAAGACCAACCACGACCACTACAAGACTAACCACGACAACTACAAGACCAACCACGACAACTACCAGGCCCACCACGACAACTACAAGACCAACCACGACAACTACAAGACCAACCACGACAACTACAAGACCAACCACGACAACTACCAGGCCCACCACGACAACTACAAGACCAACCACGACAACTACAAGACCAACCACGACAACTACCAGGCCCACCACGACAACTACAAGACCAACCACGACAACTACCATGCCCACCTCGACAAACTCAACATCTTCCACAACAACTTCACCATCAAAACAAACAGATATAGAAACCTCCCAGACAGTAACTCCCACGGGGCACACCGAGCCTACTGGTCCAAGTGAGACCACGTCATCCCCACTCGATCGCACAACAAAAGGCAACTCAATTGGAAACAACTATTACTTCAATTTCATTTATAACATTATTTCCAACTCTTTCAACAGAAACAACTCCAATGGTTCCAACAATTTAAATTATGAGCCAAGAAATGTCAGTAATAACAATAATGGTCTACAATAAAACAATTTGTATACATGTATTTCATAACATCAACATGGTTACGATTTTTGAAAACGAATGGAATCAAGGCATAGCATAGGGTGGTTTCAGTTTCCGGCTTGCTGCTTAAACAATTAATTCAAAATTGAGATTGTGTTTTTGTTTTTTGTGCTGTCACCCGCAAGAGTGGATATTCCTTCTTCAGTATAATTGACTAACTTGTCTTCCGCCCCAGACATGCACTTTAATTTAAATAATATCTACGTGTACGGGATGTTTCATTCTCAAGTTTTGAATGCCAAAAACCAATATTTCTACGCTTCAACTACTATCAGAAATAATATCTTTGGACGCGTATACATAGTCATGTAATCGAAATCGGAACCCTAAAAAAGTTTGGGCGACCATTCGAACCCATAGGATTTAGGATTGCCGCGGATAGCATGTCCGGTACTCGGTATCCGCTACCCGCCCAGTTTTGTGGGTACCCGTTGCCTGGCGGGTAGTGATTACTACCCGGGTAATGATTTTTTTATTTTTTTTAAATTGTAATCCATACTTGTAACAAGCCCTATGATTCAATGCTACTTTAGCCCCCCCTACTTTTCCAAAATCCTGGTTAGCACCAAAGGTTCTGTGGATGTGATCATGACTTATAGGTGAAATTTCGTCTAATTTATAAATTGTCTGGGGAGCCTCACTCACTCATACCTATTTGAATTTTGAAGATTTAGCAATTTTTCTATAAATTTCGACATTTGTTGACATGAATAATCTAACATTACAAATTCGATTGCAAAATTTAAAAAAGTGTCTGGGTGATTCCTGAAAACGAATTTATTATTTTAGTTTCTTATTAACTTATGAAAATTGTTTCGGATTAGGTTCTAAAGTTTCGAACCAAATTAGAATGTCGCCAAATGTCGAAATTTGTCGAACAATGATAAAGTTCTCAAAATCCACAATGGCCTTGAGTAAATATACTCATTGGGACTTGGTTTTAAATTTTCGAACTAATTTAGCAAACTAAAATAATTATGTTGACAATCGAAATTTGTCGAAGAATCATCACAAGCCACGTTGTCGTGAGTAAATGAGATCAGCCAGACGCGAATTTCTAAATTAAAAAAAGACTTGTTATTATTTCAATGAATATTGCACTTATTTATCAGGGAATAGTTAAGTCCGGTTTGAAAACATAATTATTATGATACGTACAAAGTTGGTACGTATGTATGTGCAATCTCAATTTAAAAAAATGAAGTCATCCATCAGACCACGTCATGATTCATGGAGTTGGGAATATGCGAAATCGTTGAATTATCGTAATTCCTCTTATCTTATCCTTATCTACTTGGGGAAATGCATGTGTAGGGTTTTACAATATGTATACGTGGTATAAAAATTGATGTGATTAATACACTAAATGAGGGTACTGCATAAATATGCGACGTAGTAGGGTTGTCTGCATAAAATAGAAATTAGTACGGAACAAAAATTAAGTTCGTTTAATTAAATACCAAGCTAAATTTGCCAAGCGTTTTTAAATCTCTTGTTGATTTGATAACAACCAAAATGTACAAAGTGTTTAAAAAATATGTGGAGTTTATTTCGCAAAAATTGTAATTAGTAAATACAAATTACATTGTCAACCATTTGCATCAATTTCATTCAAGGATAGACAACAGTTGATAGCTCGGTTACCAATCCAATTTTTAGTTAATAATTAAAATTTTCTCCAGATAAGATTTCAGCCTTACGTCTTTGTGGAACACCCTGTAGATATAATACTTACGTATGCATGTTATCACCAGTTACTAGAGCAGTGGTGTGTTTGGGGTTTTACTAATTAAATAAATACCCAGGACTTAAATTTTTCAGCAATCATAGCAGGATATGTGTCGTAAATACCTCGGCTAAAATCATACTGTAATCAACATAGTCAGCAAACTCCTACCGTGGAACTCCTCACTTTATCAGGTTTTCTGGAACTGATATTACCTGTAATTCGGCACCGGCATATCAATTATGGCATTACTACATTCTGCCTGGAACCATAAATTCAACGAATATTGATAAATATTGATAAGAGAATAATCCACAATTCATCACTGATTAGTGGAAATGAGGTTGAAAGTTTGAGCATATCATAAAAAGTAATACGACTCTGAACCCAATTCTCAGTTTGGTTCCATCCGCACTAACGAACCAGTTAATTAATTACTGGAATGGAGACCTTACGCCAAATATTTATCTAACGTCCAGGTAACCTCTTGACCTTGTTGACCGTGATTGGTGTGGCGATCTGGCTAGGGTTAGGAATTGGGCTAAGGTCGGGCCGATCTGACCCATGGCTTCAGCGTGACGCCATGTACCTCCGTCTCCCGGGAGATTTGTTCATCCGGACGTTGAGTGGATTGATGCTCCCGCTGATTTTTTCTTCCCTCGTGACCGCCATTCTGATGTACACCATGTCTCATTGTTGGTTCGCCGTTTCAGGTTTTTGAGCGGGTTGTGTTTTTGTATTCGTGGTTGGTTTTTTGTCCATAATACCAGTTTGTCTGTCGTAGTGGTAAAAATCTTCTATGGAGATGGACCGATTTTGCAACGCCATTGTCAAGCATTTCTCTTTTCCTTCTGAGTAGCATATTCTTGGCTTGTTGTAGTTTGGGGGGAAGAACATCTTCAAACGAAAGACCAGTCTTCCTAAGGTAGGGAGAAAGCTTAAGAAGGAAGAATTTGTCACCTGAATTTGAGAATTTGAAGTTGAATTTTTGGGATTGTCCCAGTTGGCGGACTTGTTGTATACATGGCGGACGAGTAGCGTTCAGGTGTCGGAAGATCTTTATCAATTCTTGACGTGCTGCACTTATGTTCCTAGAAGCTAAACCTTTTACGATTATACTGTTCACGTGGACCGTGCAGTACAAATCTTGGCTCCCCGACAGAAGCGTCTACGACAAAAGCGTCTCTTACTAAATCATTGAAACAGGGCCGTAATCCCCACCCCCCCCCCAAAATAAATGCAATATTAAATACAATGATTTGCAATACGTTTTTCAAGTAGTGGAGGTTTTATTAGAACCAAAGTCCTCACAAAATATATATCCTCACAAAGAATGCATAAAATATCCTTCGAAAATAAAATAAAATATCCTCGTAAAAAATATCCTCAAAAAATAAAATTAAATATTCTCAATAAATAAAATTAAATAAAAATCAGCAGAAATATATTATTTAACCTCCTAGTTCTCAATTTAGTTTATGCAAACCGACCGTTGGTTACCAATTTCGAGTCTGTCAAAATCTCTAAAACTGCTGAAAATTCGAAAAACTAGAAAATTCCACCTTTTATCATGGGGTTGATATGGGAAGAGTTCATAATTTTGGCAGAAAAAAGTCAGAAAAAGTAAATTGTTTCTAATGGAGTTTTCTACTTTTTTGAATGCACTTTTTCTATTTTTCCAATGTTTTCCAATTTTTAGTTGTCACTGACAAAATTTGAAAATACACAAATGTGTGTAACTGGTAGTAAAGAGGTTAAATGAAAGGCATTGAGCTACTCGATGGATAAACTAAGCCGGAACCGTTCTATACTTTTACACGCATTTTTAACCAAATAGAACCTTGTCCAAAAATTGTTAAAAGCTGGAGTGAATACCTTTAAAAAATTCCCAACGAGTTGCTTTACAAAGCTACAGAAGCATATTTTTTTTAATAATTCGCAACACCGAAATATTATTAAAAATGTGAAATTTTCACGCATTTTCATGTCACGGGCAGAGATGCCCCTTAAGATTTAGACTCCCAGCTGTGTGAAACGCTGTTGCGAGACTGATCCTCAAATATGCATATGTATGTTTTCGCACACATGCATACATTCGTACATGTAAATATATAAGATTTTTCATTTAACTGAGTATAAAATTCTATCTGCAGAGTATATAATTGCAGTTGCATATGTACAACCATCACGCAAATAATGCTACCCCTTCCGAGCTTTGCCGATCTACATTTTTTATGCAAAGCTTATGTACATAAATTTTTTATACAATATTATAGATGCAAATGATATATTAGCTGCTCAAAAAAGATATTTGACTGAATTGACAACATATTTATTAATAAATAATCTCGATTCAGATTACTTGATAGAGTAGATATATATTTACATCTACAAAGTATACAATAAATTACTTTTGTAAAAAAACAGTCTTCGGTGACGTGTCATAATTCACGAACAAAAACATAAAACAAGATGTTTTCTCTTTAATGATTTGACAGAGATCGGCCTTCATTGATATAATTTAAGATATACAGAAATTGTAGAATTCGCATAACTGAAAGGTTTCTTCACCGTGGGCCCATCATATTTTACAAAATGATTCACTTTGGCCGTAGAGAACTTATTTGAAACTTAACCTTGAAATGAACTTAAATTTAATCATGACTTGACGCCCTATAATTAATGTTTATTTATGCATAAGTATTAGAAAATATTTACATTTGTATTCATAAATGGAAATTTTCCCATTCGAACAATTTAGATATTTATGTACGTGGATAATATTATAAATAAATGCACTGATATATTACAGTTAGGCCTATAATTTACATTGAAACTATACAACTTTTGAATGGACCTGAAACTAAATTTTCAACAGTTTAAGCAAGTTATCTCATAAAACTCGCCAATTTGACTTCAATAAGTGCATCTTTCGCAGTAAGATTTTCAACTCGTCGTATTTGTGATTTTACCCCTACCCCAAACAATGTATATATTCAAGTAAAATATGATGGGCCCACGGTGAAGCAACCTTTCAGTTATGCGAATTCTACAATTTCTGTATATCTTAAATTATATCAATGAAGGCCGATCTCTGTCAAATCATTAAAGAGAAAACATCTTGTTTTATGTTTTTGTTCGTGAATTATGACACGTCACCGAAGACTGTTTTTTTACAAAAGTAATTTATTTCCAAGTTTCATTACTTACGACTAGCTTAAAGCTGGTGCAAGAACCGTTTGTCCCGGTGATCA